TAACTATTTATTTAGTTATGTTAATTTTGCTATTTTCACACAAAATCTTAACTATAATGCTGAACAATAGTTGTTTAAAAGAGCATCACGCTTGTTTCTTGCTTGTTCTTGTTGTGATGAGTCGGCGTTTCGCGTTAGTGGTAAAATAAAAAAATTAAATTCAACAGTTATATTGTTAACTTTATTAGTGTGAAGTATGGAGACCAAGATGACGAGCAAAGAAAACGGCACCGGTATAGTCGTAAAATATTGTATTTGACTTATCTCATTATATACTCATATATAAAACAATATAGTGTTTATAAAAAATATATACAATAAAAAAGGTGTATAAAACAATTAGAATAAAAGTTTATTTCTATTCTATTTGTTTATAATAAGGCAAGAAGATTAATACTTCATTTACTACGCAATACTAAACTATATTTGACTAATAATAGAATCTTGAAGCAAAAACATTGTACCCATTTTTACGAAAATTGCCTGAACGGACGTGTAAGAAGAAAAGAAGTACAGAAAGCTAATATTTTATAAAATTATGCAAAAAAATACATTAAATCAATATAAAAATATTACACACACTACCACGTATTTCACACACAGACATACAAATATACACATTTTGTTTATTTTTAAAATCTGTGGTCAAATTGAGTATAGATTAATATTATTTGTCTATAGTCTTACTGAATGTCAAACATAACTGTGATTGTGGAAGTATAGTCTTTGACAATGGAATCTTAAACACGTTCAAATTTAAATTAATTATGATTGAATTTCGACTAGTACTCATAGATACGTGTTATCATAACATCGCATACAACAGACGCTCGTCATTTTACTACTGTTTCGCGCCGTGCAATACTGTGTATCTGTGGGACAATATGTTTTACGCGGGAAAATAAAAAAAGAAACTAAAATGAAGATTTCTTCTGTATACTCGGGTTGTAGTATATACTAGCTATACCCGCGACTTCGTTCGCGTGGAATTTAACTTTTTTCTACAATAAAGGTAGCTTAAGTTACTCCTTATTACATCAGCTACCTGCCAAAAAAGTCCCATCAAAATTGGTCCAGCCATTTCACAGATTAGCCGGATCAAACAGGCCGACAGACAGACAGACAAAAATTGTAAAAAATGTTATTTTGGTTGTATGTCCCGTGTGTATGTATATGTATTTATATTCATATGCATGTAGTAAAAAACGGTTTTTTCAATATTACAAACAGACACTCCCATTTTATTTATATGTATAGATTGTATAGATTATCGAGTAGAGGAAATATTGACTCAATATTACTTATCATTTGTTGTGATTTTGATATGACGAGAACATTTACGAAACCTGTTTTTACATGCGTAATTAGCTTATCATTTAGGCTATAATTCACAAACATGACGGTAGTGTCTTGATTCAAAGCCTTTTGTATTTATTTGAATGTTTATTTGTATAATATTAACCCACTAACAATATTAATTATATAGATTTTTTTTTATTATTATTTTTACCATGCAATCAGTATTCTAATCTATAAGTAGATTATTTTGTTGATTATATTATATCGTGAGAGATAATAATAATAATCTCAGGACAATTCACACAGCGCCATCTAGACCCAAGTTAAGGCTGAAGCTTGTGTTAAGGGTACTAGATACCTGATACAAATACATAGATTTTTTTTTGGTTAATACATACTTATTATACATAGAAAACACCCAGACCGATACAAACAATCATACTCATGAATACAAATGTTCGTGACGTGCGAGGAATCGAACCCGCGACCGTCGGATGTAAAGCGGTGTGCTAGACCGCTATACGACCGAGGTCGTCGAGAGGTGATTCTCCATTGAGAATCCAGCCTCAGATATTCCAGTTTATGCCAGGTTGTTGAATTCTGGTATTTTACGTCTCTTAAGACGTGCCATATAATCAGGCAATGTCAGTTGAACAGCAAGTTCATTTGGATGTCTGTCCAGCTTGATTTTATATTTTTTATTGTTTGAGAGATTTCCTCCTTGACAGAGGTGATCCCCAGGTGGTGATGTACCTTTGAGTTACGAATAAACCAGGGTGCGTTACAGGTTTGCGTTTATATGTAGTTTTGAGTTCTTTGAATTTTGTTGATGTTGGTTATACTTGCAGAAACCCACAGCTGGAGCCCATACGTCCAGATTGGCTTGAGAATTGTCTCTATGTCAATTATAGATATAGATATTGGTCTTTTGCGCACGTTTTCTGAATGTCATAACCTCGCTAGCTCTTTTGACAGTTGACCTCTCATGTCACTTCTCTTTATTTATGAAATGGCCACAGATATATTAAACAATATAATAATAATAATAATAATCTCAGGACAATTCACACAGCGCCATATAGTCCCAAGTAAAGCTAGCTAAAGCTTGTGTTATGGATACTAGATAACTGATACAAATACATAGATTTTTTTTTCGTAAATACATACATATTATATACCCAGACCGACAAACAACAACAAACAATCATACTCTTGAAATACAAATGTTTGTGCCGTGCGAGGAATCGAACCCGCGACCATTGGACATAAAGCGGTAATATAATAGATCGTAATAGTGTTTTTTTATGTAACTGGAATGGAAAACAAGCTAGCAAGCAAACAAACAAGCAAGCATGGTAAGTGACTTGATGGTAAATGGTAACCGTTGTCTATATACATTAACAGCACTACGGGTATCGCATTATGCGTTATACAACATTCATGCGATGACATTCCATAACAATTAAACCTGAAAACCATAAAAAAATCCGAATATAAAATTCATCATAATTTTTTTTTTAATGTTAGGTGTGAAAATGGTATTTCTTATACGAACATTTAAACAAATTATACGCTACTTATTCTATAATTTCACTGCCTTATCTCACAATCAAAACACATCATACAAAGCAAACTGCTGAGGTGGGAAATGAAACTGTAGTAGAAATAGAAATATAAATAATCTTTATTCAAATATACTTAATATAAGCACTTTTGAATAGTCAAGTTTTTTTTATTCTACCGCTTATTCAGAATGCAGATACATCACAAGAAGAATAAGCAAGAAACTTGTGTGTTGCTTTTTTAAATAAATATTGATTTACTTATATTTAATTAACAACAAGGATTAGGCATGCCACAATCAACATAGAAACCGCTACGCATTTAATCTCTGTTCAATCAGATAACATTGTCAGCGCTATGAATTTAAAGTTAGATATTTTCTACAATAACATTATTACCGTTTATAAATTCTTCAATTTTATAATAAAATTTTTTACAAAGAAAATATTTTATAACACATTTGAATTTTTTTTGTGGCAAATTGTGTAGTAGTATTGCCCATGCAAACGACTTTATGTATAGTGCGCCGCACTGTTAGTATTAGATATCCATTTATTGAAGGAAGTGTAGTAGACCATATTGATTATTATAAATAACTAGCTGTCCCGACAAACGTTGTTTTGCCATATAAATTAATAACGCTATAAAACAATAGGGGTTGGGGATAGAAGGGTGAAAATTTAGGGTTGTATGTATTTTTTAATGACACCTAAAAAATATAGATAAAATATTTTGCCCAAAAAATAAAAAAATAATGTTAGGGGTGGACAACCCTTATCACTTAGGGGTATGAAAAATATATAGTAGCCGATTCTCAGACCTACTAAATATGCATATAAAATTTTATAAAAATCGATCCGAAGTCGTTTCGAAGGAGTATGGTAACTAACATTGTCACACGAGAATACCCCTGGACAATCCACACAGCGCCATCTAGGCCCAAGCTAAGCAAACTTGTATTGTGACACATCCATTTTATTTACATTTTATCACACACGCACACACACACACAATATTACTACATACATATATATATATATACTATACTTACCTAATATGTTAGATACTATATGTATATACCTAGATACTGCCATTTTACTGTGTAAATCTAAGTAGAACCTCACAACCGAGGGTTGAGTACTGGTCTACTAAGATACAGGCCTCGTGCCTAGTTCACTTCCCAGGCTCATACAATCACAACAAATTGTTTATAAAAATGAATTAAAACCTGTACATGATTGTGGCTTAATAAAAATTATTATTATTATGATTATGTCTTCGTTACAGACTACTACATTTAGATATGGTTGCTTCGAGATTGTGTTACATAAGAATTAAGGAGGAAAAAGCTGTTCGTTACCAGCATCTGGTCACATTTAGGGAAATGTGTCGAACTCGGCTAATGGTAGCTAATACTGTTACAGTGTATAAACTTGGATATTAACAGTCATAAGCTTTCATAACCCAAGATTACCGCCTTAAGTCGCGTCGGCAAAACATATTCGGTCTGACCCGGTTACTTTTGCATGACGCTAAATGATAACATTACGTTCTGTTTATATTACACGAAGTGGCCGATGTTTCTACTTATATTTCTATATCTTTTTCTTTTAGCTTCAATAATAAAGTGGCATAATAATTTACGAGTGTTATATTTAAATCTGACTGACATATATATAAAACATCTATTCAAAAGAGCAACACATAAGTTTCTTGTTCATTCTTCTTGTGATGAATCTGAATTCCGAATTAGTGGTAGAATAAAAAATGTGACTATTTAAAAGTGCTTGTACTGAGTTTAATAAAGATTATTTCTATTTCTATTTCTAACATAATTCCCATATTTCTGACTGACTAACTAGAGTAATGGAAACCCCGAAAACAAATCAAATATCAAATGTTCCGTTCACCATGACGTCGAGAGTTAACAATATTTCTGGCTACCCCAGCTGGTAATACAGTAATTGCAGTTAGAAATATAAATTCACACATTCGAACTCACAAAGCTCGAGATCTTTAAGCCTGTGTAGTTAATCCATACAATAGCACAATAGCACAACAAAATTAACTACTCAAATTATAAACATTTTATTTAAACAACACTATTTACAAATAAATCACATAAATAATATATTCCCTAAAAATAATACAGTTCTTTTTTAATTTAACATTTCAACTTGGGAGAAAAGGAGTTGCTGCAACCTCATAACGAATAACAATAATTAATTAATTGGCTGAAAGGATTCGATTAAGTAAACAACATACAAACATATTCTAAAATAATTAGAAATAAATATAGAGAGGTAAATTAAGTTTCTTGTCAATTCCTTGTAGCTTGAAAAAATCAAAATTATTATACATTTATTGAAGAATAGTCACTAAATACATCGTAGAGATCTTCATATTAGTTAAGTCTTAAGGAATCATAGTTATCAAGATAAACATAAATACCCATATGCTTTGTGTATTTTTTTAAATGTGTACTTTTATTACAAAATTATGTACTTGTTAAAAATAATATTTAATTACTTTTTAAATTTCTAGGTATGAGCTGAACGTTCAAATTTGTTGGCCTCACTTGAACTTGATCTTTACGATAATTAATCTTATCTCCATCAATAGAAGATTTTACTGAAAAGTTACGAAGTAAATATATCAAGCCAGTCTTTACCTGAAGTCGAGCGTATCTCACTCCAATGCATATTCTGTTTCCTTTACCAAATGACAAAAAACTGTTATTACTAATTTCTTCGTTAACAAACCTATCTGGATCGAATACAGTAGGATTTTTGTAATATACAGGATCATAATGAAGATCGTACACAGGAACAAATACGGCAGTGCCTTTCTCGATGAGTACATTACCCACAGGTAAAACCGAATCCCTTACACATTGCCTACTTAAAAATCCGATTGGTGGATGCATTCTCAAACTTTCGGTTAATACTTTTTCTAAATATTCCATTTCCATTACAGCTTCATAAGTTAATTTTCCGTCGTACTTTTCAAATGTAGCGTCTATTTCATCTTGAACTCTTTTTAGGTGTGCGGGACTTTTTCCTAATTCAAATAAAGCACCTAAAGCTGCAGTAGCACTTGGTTCTACGCCCGCATTAAAGAAAAAGAACGCTTGGCCTGCAAGAAGTTCATCAGTGGGTTCTAATGTAAGCCCAGTTTCACGATCTACCATTGTGCCTTGTTTTTGCAAACTTACAGCTTTATCGGCAAAATCATGTTTGTGCACATTTTCTTGTTCTCTTAAACGAATAATCTTCTTAATAGCACCTATGAAAAATTCTTCGTATTCTCCGAAAATTTTTATATTAAGCTTTTTCCCTAGCCACGGACTAATGCTAAATACAATAAATTTAAGATTAATCTTTAAGGTAGCTTGGAAAGCCTTTTTGCCGATTTCTAAAAATGGTGAGTCGAATACGGACTCAGTCACGATTCCAAAAACAGAAGCTCCCACAGCGGCACTGCAGAATTGCAACATCAATTCATAGGTTTCCTTTCCATTCCACTTCGCTTTATTTTTATTTAAATAATTTATAAAGTCATTGGCACTCTTGTCCATTATGTAGTACATGTTCTTTAATTTAGCGCTTGTGAAGAGAGAAGTCATGTTTTGTCTCATCAACTTCCATCTGTTGCCAGTCATGAATAACAAATTGTCTGCAAGATGATCATTCTTATTTACTTCAAAGCCTCTGTCAGAGAACGATTGAAAATCCGTTTGCAGTACATGTTGAATATTAGCAGGGTCTATTATTAAAACAGCTGGCCGGAAAAGAGTACTCACGCCTACTGCTGGTTCCTTGCGATACTTCTTATAAAATTCCGATAAGATGACGAAAATTGGTCGATCACTGGTTAGGAACTCCCCAGTAATCCCGAAATAGTTGTAAGTGTCCTGTAATTTGAGCCCGCGTCTCTTCCAATAATTCACATTGCTTTTGTTGATATAATAAAAGAATAATGGAATAAAAATCACAATTAATAACAATATATAAAGTAACATTTTGTTTATGTCCACTGTTTGTGAAATAAAGATAAAAATGTCGATATTTGTATCGTAGTCACTTATTTATACAATGATCATATCATGTCGAACGTTGTCACGAATTAACAAATAGGAATAAAATAGATAATGTAGCGCTTCATTTGTTTTCAAATGACATTACACGTCAATTAGAATATTAGTAAAAACAAAAGGAGAAATTTACTATAAATGAGGACAACTGAATGTATGTATGTATTAAGTCTATCCACGGCACGGTCTTTGGCACTAATTACATGTACAATGAGTAGGTGTGCCATGTTTTTGCCAGAATTTACCTCATTGTGATGTATGACATCAGCATTTTTATAGCCTATGTCATAATTACGGCGCTTGGTACACGGCGCGGTTTCGGCGCTCAGCCGTGGAGGGCTCTCAAACTCGTAACCTTGGAGGTCTTTAAATCAGGAAAGTAAATGATAGCTAGTGCTACGCAGGTTACTACGCTATCTGCATAGATTTATCAGTCTAAAAATCTTATCAATATCTAAATGTATTTTTATTATAACTATCTTCTTTATTTATCTATATAATAATATCACGAGAAAAATGTTTCTATTTGTCTGTTTGTTCGTTAACGTTTCATGTTAAAATTGATTATAGGAATGAAACTTAAATAATACATATATTGTTAAATATATTTGGCTTTGTAAAGATTAGAAAGGACTTTATTTATTTATTAAAACTTTAATACGCAAACAAATATTTACTTAACACCTGGAGACATTTTCTATACGTCAAGCCCTATGCTTTGCTTTGAGATTCTTGTAGGAGGGACATTTTCAAAAATTGACTATGTATAAACCCTTTTTTACGTATTAAGATAATGAACAAAAATATGCAAATAGTGCAACTTGCACATGGGAGACTTTACACCTTGAGATATTTTCTCCCCGTCAAGCACAGGCCAAACAGAAATCAAACAGAAATTCTTGTGGGAGGTACATTTTCAAAAATGAACTATGCAAAAATAATGACATAATTAATGAATAGGGTTGGTACGACGTAAGTTACTTGACGGGTGGAGGGGGGAGGGATAAAAATGTAGATGTAATTATGGGTTATCTTTCAAAGACAAAAATGAGCATTTTACGACAACTCGATGTCCATGATCCTGCATATGTATGAAGGCGAAGATTTTCATCTTAAATATATTATATACTTTTTTCTAGAAATGTCTAAGGTTTGGCCTTAGACATATATAGTCATATATTTCTATATAATACTTCAATTATGGAGTAAAATAAAAAATACACATAATTCATTATGCATTATTAATCATATTTTTATTATTTTCATACAAATACAAATTATATAAGAATTATATTACAAACACAATAAATTAATTAATTACCTTATACAACTACTATTCTAAAAATAAACTATAATTATATATTTATGAAAGCGTACATTATTTACACATTGTGAATACACACGAATATCTTATGGGTAAAAAGTTTATTTACATCTTTGTATACACTAATCTTTATAACAGCCATTTTAGGATCTTTATATACTTGATATCTGAAATTTATAAACTATATTACATTAAACTATATATTTAAGAGGCAAGAAAAAGGAAAAACGAAAGAATATCACGAATTCATTCAAAATTTTGAAAGAATATTTCTAATAGGTGCAACTTCACATAGAAACTCACTAAATTCAGAGATATTTTTATAACATGAATACTAATATTAATATTATAAAGAGATGTAGAACTACAAAATATATTCGAACACAAACTAATATTTTTATGCTACACACTAGCAACGTATTAATATTACGACTATATTTCAATGTCAATGAGAGAACTAACTCACATTATTACCTATTTATTCCATTTGAATTGATTACATTGATAAGATCGAATTGAGTGCGACATTGTACTCCAGAGTAGATGTACTAATTGAACGATAAAATCAACACTAAAATTCTACATAATATACAAGTTATATAATTATAATAATATAAATATGAATATATCAGGATATAAGTTTAGCAAGGAAAGAAGTGAATTGACCTGCGTTATTAATATTTTTATTCCAGTTCCATATCATTTTACAGTTCTGGGTATAAGTTTGATATCCAAATTATCTGGTCTCAATTGAACTTGTGCCTTCTTATATGTAATTTTATCACCAAGAACTTTTGATTTAACTGTGTAGTGACGAAGTATATGTATCAGTCCAGATTTAACTTGAAGTCGTGCATACCTAACACCAACGCATAGTCTATTTCCTTTGCCAAAAGGCATGTACAAACTGCTATTAACTAGAGATGAGTCATTTGCAAATCTGTCTGGATCGAACACTGTAGGATTGGGATAGATCTCAGGATCGTAATGTATATCAAATATAGGAGTAAATATGTTGGTATCTTTCTCGACGGGTACATTGCCTACAGGCAGTACTGTATCACGTACACATCTTCTAGTTAAAAATCCAATTGGAGGATGTAGTCTCAAAGCTTCAGATAACACATTTTCCAAATGTTCCATTTCCATTACTGCTTCGTAAGTGAATTTTCCGTTATGTTTTTTATAACTAGCATCTATTTCTTCGTGAACTTGTTGGAGATGTTTGGGATTCCTACCGAGTTCAAATAATACAGCATAAATACCTGTAGCGCTCGGTTCAACTCCAGCATTAAAGAAAAAGAAAGCTTGTGCTGCGAGCAATTCATCAGTCGGTTCTAATTCAAGTCCTGTATCGCGATCTCTCATCGTACCTTTTTTTTGCAAACTCACAGCTTTATCGGCGAAATCATGCTTCTCCACATTCTCTTGTTCTCGTTGACGAATAATTTTCTTTATAGCACCGATAAAGAAGTCCTCGAACTCTCCAAACAATTTTAAACCAAGAATCTTTCCTAGCCATGGACTAATGTTCAGGACCGTGAACTTCATATTGGTCTTCAAATTCTGTTGAAAGAGTATTTTTGTAGTATTCAGTATTGGTGACTCAAAAACAGATTCACTTGTGACTCCAAACACAGATGCTCCTATAGCAACACTGCAGAATTGTGACATCAATTCAAAAATATTTTCATTCAATTTTTCTGGATACTTATTCAGGTACGCAATGAAATCTACAGCACTCTTATCCAAAATGTAGTACATGTTCTTTAATTTAGAGCTCGTGAAGAGTGAGGTCATATTCTGCCTCATCAGCTTCCATCTGTTGCCGTTCATAAATAGTATGTTATCTGCGAGAATGTCGCCATCATTGATATCTAATCCTCTGTGATTAAAGGAATGAAAATCTTGTTGTAAAACGTGTTGAACATTAGTGGAATCTATTATAAGAAGAGTAGGTTTAATAGAGCCACTTATGCCCACTGCTGGTTCGTTGCGGTGCTCTTTATATAGATCTGATAGTATTTCAAACAAGGGTCGTTTCCCGAAGAAAAATTCACCGAAAACACCAAGGAGCTTTGATTTATGATATTTAACACCGCGTCTTTTCCAATAACTCTCACTATTTTTAATATTATAGAAATATATGAAATATATAAGAGATATGATAAGCAACAAAATTATTTGTATCAACATTGTATAGCCGTTCACTACGAATGTAGGAATATAAATAAGAATGTTTGGAATAATAAATCATAATCGAGTATTTATACCATAATTATGTTTTTCTAGTCTTATCATTATATAATTACAATATTTAAATGGTCATGATGAGTCCGCACATTTAATATTTTTATTATTTCAATAGTCAGGATGACATTCTATATTGATAAAATATCGCTAACCTCCGACATTAATAGATAATTACAAAAATCATGTAAATCTCTTCTTCTATTATTTATCAATACATACATGTATACAACTTTCTAGATTAACATACCCATCTATTAATTCCGGTAATGTGGACCTTAGGGCAATTTACAATAAAGAAATTATTCACGTGAATTTGCAGAAGTTCAATTTAAGTTATTATAAATAATTGGTTAAACTTAAAACTATAAAATCTCATTATTAATCAAAAATTTAAATTTTTATGAAGACCTGTGGAAAGGTATAAACAAAATAGTTGTACAGCTTTTGTTGCTAGCAGTTGTCTACCATTCTTTATATAAACTTTGTATTTTTGACATATATGTCACTTTTGACTTCTTGTTACTCTTAGCTGTGAGCCTCTTTGGGAAATATACATATTTATAACTATTATTTGATTTTTAATAAATAGTCGTTGTGTTCCCGCTCCAGCACAGCTTTAATAGTGTAGTTCATACACATTTATTTTTCTACAATCTATCTATATGAAGAACCGTGCTAACATGCGCTATTAATTATATTTATTTATTGCCAGAAAAAACATAATCATACATTGTTTTCACGTTAGTAATTATTGTATGAAACATTACTTAAATTATATTTCTCGATACTTAAAACAGATTTTCTTATTGTTCGATGTTAACAGTTTAACTGTTATATTCTTAGCCAATTCTTCTACTTTTAGTCGATGGTGTAGTTGCGAAGCTAATTGTCGTTTTATCTGATTCGGTTGAAGAAATTTGTTCGGTCGCAATTTTTTCATTATGTTCTACAAGTTTCTACAAGATATTCCATTAATCCTAAGCTTGTATTGTTTTGCTTCTCAATTTGTTTAGTTAGGGACACTATCATTTCATTAAATATATTTCTGAAGTTATCTTCTCTAAATAAATTAATATCATTAACCTGCTTATACTCCTCAAAATTGTTGGTAGAATTATTCGAAAGTGAGTCAATAGCATCTTGTTTCAACTTTCTTCATACTTCTCTTGTAGCATTTAATGAATCACCATTTATGTATTCTATTTGTATCTGTTAGCTTAACATTTAAATCAAATTCTGTTTTAGTGGCTTACTATTATCTTTCAAATTATCAATTAAACTTTCGAGTGAGAGTTCAGTGTTATTTTTAACGGAATCCCGTTTGTCAATTAGATATATAGTTTTCCTATCTATGTCTAGGATATAAGTGTAGAGCTTTTACTAGCAGCTTTTCTTTAGTTACTGCAAGAAAATAATGAAACATGTTACAGTTTAAAATAAATATATTACATATTTTAGCAATAATACACATACTTATGTATTATTGCTGCTATTGTTATTATGTGTGTATATACGCATAAAATGTACAAATATGCATATACATTTGTCCAATAATTTATGGACTACATTAAATCGAGAGTTATAAGGATTTATTCATCCTCATTTAATACTTTAAATTTATTAAATAAAAACCATACTGAGTTTTACTTAATTAAATCAACTGTCTAGTCCTCAGTTAGGTTAAAAAGGCTTGCTGAATTGATCCGAACAAGATTTAAACGTAAAAGCTGATTAATATGCTGCTACTTCTGCACGAAACGTGCAACGCAACAACTCCACTAGTACCCCGTTATATACATATAGCCCAGTGTATACAGTTAGCAAAGGTAGTTGTTCCATTCCATTATCATCCATTAAAAATCCACATATATTGCCATTCCAGAGAACTTAGATTCCATGTCTGGTATTCTGTAATTTCACTGCTGCACTCTGTAATCGAAGCACAGCTTATATAGCACTCTGCTTGGTGCCTGAAAGAGGTGACACTAAAGTACCCAAGCCTTTCCAAAGGACTAAGTCATGCTTCTTATCCTGTAATTTCAGTGCCTAATCGTAGCCTATAATTGAAACAGCTTGTATGGGCAATCTTCTTGGTGGCTGAAACTGAGGTAAGAAGACGACTCTATAACGTAGAGGTCAATCTAAAACGTACATTATCTACAGACGTAGTCAGACATTATTTGTTTACTTACATTTGATAGTAGACAATAAACACGTAACGACCACAACGAGCGTAGTCATCATGACAATTATATAATTTGTTTGTAAACACTTGTTGTCTAGCAATTTGACATGTTTATTACATAACCCAAACGTAATAACCTCAGTGGTCTAGCGGTTTAACACGCTGCTGTACTTCGGATGATCGCAGGTTTGATTCCTCGTTGAGCGAGCGTTATACGATGATCATAAGATCATAAGATCATCGTATACTATATGTAAATATTTACACTCATTTCCTTCAAAGAACACTATTATATAATACCTAGACGAATACACTACATATTTTTGATGCATACGACAATCAATCATGCTCATTAATATAATTTTATTTATTTATTTAAACTTAATAGAATTGTACAATATGCGAACTTAATGCTATTAGTAATCTCTACCAACCAACCTTAGGGAGTGCGGAGATACTCGAGGGCGGTTTAGTTAATTAAATAAAAATATATTAAACAGATATACAATTTTCTGAATCGGGCGAGAATCGAACTAAAACTACCCCATCGGAAGTAAGGCAGTGTACCAAAACACTAGATTATTGAAGCCGTCATATGTTTTTGTTCATATATTAATCTAAAAATATATATTTTTATTTGTAAAATATTCTAAATCATTTTAAAATTTTATATAACAGAAAAAAAATGATATTAACCAAACCATATTGTTTTTGTGTTTGTATTATTCGGCAATTTCTTATCACTTGATACGTCAGTGCAAACACACATTGTGTATACAGTTTATTTTTCTAAAATTACCGAATTACTAATTAACGATTATATCTTATTTTTTACACAAATAATTACGCGCATTTATAAATATAACTATAATAACATGTAAAATATCCTATATTAAAAGTATCATTTATTTAATGGGCATTTAGGTCTTAATATTTGGTAAGGGTTGTTTTAACAAAAGGTCATGTATTGGAGAAAAACAATGTTACAATAAAAAAAAGAAAATAGATTAAACAGAAACAGTGTGACCAGTAACACAAAGTATTGCCAACAATTAGCGTACAAGGAATCGAACCCACGACAATTAAGAGTAAGGTGGTATGCTAACCGATAACTAATATTATAAATGTAGAGTAGGACCATTGCATCATGTTGACCGTTATTAATAAAATGGCTATGTTTACTGTTAAGTGTTTCCTACATTTAAGAAACAGGTATGTTTGTAAAAAAACATCCATATTTGTATGTTAGAATGAACGACAATAGCAAATTTACACAAAGAGATCAAACTAAACTAAAAATGCCACTTGCATAAAATTAACTCACACTTCAGCTCTATAGAAATATATAATAAAATAGCACAAGTAATTCGAGAGATGTCGTTAAATAGATTTAAGATAGATCTACACCAATGGCTCGTTAAAAAGTGCTGTTACTCTTTGCGAGAATTAACTTGACATTTAATATTCTATATTTAATTGTAAACCACTAAGAATCATAAAGAGGCATGTAGCCTCCTGAATATGAGACGAACATTTATACCTAACACTGTATATGTTGAAGCAAATAAATTATCTATATATCTATCTATCTAATAAAATGCAAATGTAAAGTGTGTTTATTTGTTTCCGACTGTCCGTTTGTTTCTTATCATGGCTGAGCGAATCTAAATCAGATTTGGCATGAAGATTGGTTGTATCACGAGGATCACAATAATTGTCTTATTAGATATATAAGGGGCGAATGCAGATGGCATTTCAATCCCGCGGAAGGATTTATGGAGCGGTTGAAAGCCGACACATGCCTAACGGATGCGATTTTAGTGCGCGCTAGGAGTTCGAACCTCGGCTCGAATGAAGAACGTTGTAATTTCGATCCCTGTTTAATTGGATTAGAGAAGCGGCTAGATGAGGCGTACGCTTTTTTAGCACATAGTGATATAAAAAAGTACTTTCATCTTAAAAAAATCCACATTAAATAAATAATTTTACATAGATAGATAAACAAATATCAAAAAGTGGATACATTCTATACAATAATTGATACAAAAATTCTATACAATAATTGATAGATTGGGTAAAATGAAAAGTACATATTATTAATTATATTTTATTATTACTATACAAATATAGTATTACAATCCCAAAACCAATAAATTAAATAGTTACCTAAAACAACCACTACTCTAGAAAGAACTACAATTCTAATTACATAGTTAACGATGTATGAGAGCGTACATGTAAAAATTGTGAATCTATACGAATATCTTAAAATTAGAAAGTTTATTTATTTCTTTGAACGCATTAGCTCTGTATTAATCATTTTACCACGCGTCTACGTTGGATATTGGAAATTTACAAACTATATAACATCAAGCTATATATATAGTGCACGCAAAAGGAAAACGAATCACAATTTCATTCAAATTTTGAAAGAATATTTCAAATAGGTGCAACGTTTGCAAACTCCACGTGGAAACTCACTAAATTGGCAGGTCTCTTTACAAAATTAATACTAATATGAATATCAGGAAGAAATGTGGGAATACAAAACATAAAACCTGTCAAAACACGAATGATCTACTCTGGAAGTTATTTCCAACACAAATTAATGTAGTTGCGTCTCGAATATTTTTATACTATCCACTAGCAACGTATTAATATTACGACTATATTTCAATGTCAATGAAAGAACTAACTCACATTATTACATATTTATTCGATTTGAATTGATTACATTCCAAAAGATTGAAATGAGAGCGATATTGATATTAAACTCCAGAGTAGATCTGCAATTTTAACTATAAAATCAACATTAAAATTCTACATAATATTAAAGTTATATAAGTATAAACATAAAGAGACATAAGTGTAGCAAGGAAAGAAGAATGTGAGTTGTCCTGCGTTATTAATATTTTTATGATTGTATTATCAATCCCACATCAATTTACAGTTCTGGGTATAAGTTTGATATCCAAGTTATTCGGTCTCAATTGAACTTGCGCCTTCTTATATGTAATTTTATCACCAAGAACTTTTGATTCCACTGTGTAGTGACGAAGTATATGTATCAATCCAGATTTTATTTGAAGGCGTGCGAATCTATTACCAATGCATAGTCTATTTCCTTTACCAAAAGGCATATACAAACTGCTATTAACCAGAGTCGTGTCATTTGCAAATCTGTCTGGATCAAACACTGTAGGATTGGGATAGACTTCAGGATTGTAATGTATATCAAATATAGGAGTAAGTATATTGGTCTCTTTTTCGATGGGTATATTGCCCACAGGCAGTACTGTATCACGTACACATCTTCTAGTTAAAAATCCAACTGGAGGATGTAGTCTTAGAGCTTCAGATAACACATTTTCTAAATGTTTCATTTCCATTACCGCTTCATAAGTGAATTTTCCGTTATGTTTTTTATAACTAGCGTCTATTTCTTCATGAACTTGTTGGAGATGTTTGGGATTCCTACCGAGTTCAAATAATACAGCATAAATACCTGCAGCGCTAGGTTCAACGCCAGCATTAAAGAAAAAGAACGCTTGCGCTGCTAGCAATTCATCAGTCGGTTCCAACTCGAGTCCTGTATCGCGATCTTTCATAGTTCCTTTTTTTTGCAAACTCACAGCTTTATCAGCAAAATCGTGCTTCTCCACATTCTCTTGTTCTCGATGGCGAATAATTTGCTTTATAGCACCGATGAAGAAGTCCTCGAACTCTCCAAACAATTTTAAACCAAGAATTTTTCCCAGCCATGGACTTATGTTCACGATCGTAAACTTTATATTGGTCTTAAAACTATCTTTAAAGAGTATTTTTGTAGTATTTAGTATTGGTGACTCAAAAACAGATTCACTTGTAACTCCAAACACAGATGCTCCTATAGCAACACTGCAGAATTGAGACATCAATTCAAAATTATTTACATTCAATTTTTCTGGATATTTATTTAAGTACGCAATGAAATCTACAGCACTCTTATCCAAAATGTAGTACATGTTCTTTAATTTAGCGCTCGTGAAGAGTGAAGTCATATTTTGCCTCATCAGCTTCCATCTGTTGCCGTTCATAAATAGTATGTTATCTGCGAGAAGGTCGCCGTCATTGATCTCGAATCCTCTATGATTAAAGGATTGAAAATCTTGTTGTAAAACGTGTTGAATATTAGTAGAGTCTATAACGTATAGAGCAGGATTAAAAGAGCCACTTAAACCCACTGCTGGTTCGTTGCGATGCTCTTTATATATATCTGATAGTATTTCAAACATGGGTCGTTTCCCAAAAAAGAATTTACCAAAAACACCAAGGAAATTTGAATTATGGAATTTAACTCCACGTCTTTTCCAATAACTCTGACTAATTTTGTCATTATAAAAATATAGGAAATATATAAGAGAAATGATAAGCAACAAAAATATTTGTAACAGCATTGTCCAGCCGTTCACTTTTAGTAAGAATGTAAATAAGAATGTTTGTTAAAATAAATAATAATCGAGTATTTATACCATAATTATATTTCTCTAGTCTTATCATTATATAATTATAATATTAAAGTGGTCATGATGAGTCCACACATTTAATATTTTAATATTTTTAAGTTTTCAACAGTCAGGATGACTTTCTATATTGTAAAAAAAAATATCACTAACCTCTGACTGCGAGTTAACTTTAGTAGATAATTAGAAAAATTGTTCTTCAATACTAACTCCTGAAATATTATGTGCACTTTAATATTAATGGGCTGCGCTCTGTAATATCTTTCTACTTGTGAAATAATTATTGTTTCACTTAAACCACAGATAACATAATATTACATACTTAAACTTAGAACTATAAATAAAAAAATGTAAAATGGTGATCGCGTTTTTTGAATACCTGTAGAGAGATATAAACAAAATATCGTTTGTAGTTTATACACATTTAATTTTCTACAAACTATCGATATGAAGTAACGGTACGTGACATGTAATTTCATAAAATAAATAAATTCGTAATTTAAGAACCGAGCCCATGCGCATTTAAAATATTAATATTTATTTATTGCTCGAAAAAACAATCATATATTGTTTTCAAGATATTACCTACTTTTTGTGTGAAATATTAACTACTTCAATTATATTTCTTGATACTTAAAACATGGCCAGATTTTCTTATAGTTTGATGTGAACACTATTTTCTAAACTTCCATTAACTGTTATATTCTTAGCCAATTTTTCTAAAGTACTTTCAGTCGATGGTGTAGTTGCGACGCTAATTGTCGTTTTGTCTGATTCAGTTGAAGAAATTTGTTCGGTCGCAATTTTTTTATTATTTTCTACAAGATATTCCATTAATCCTAAGCTTGTATTGTTTTGCTTCTCAATTTGTTTAGATAAGGACACTATCATTTCATTATATATATTTCTGAAGTTATCTTCTCTAAATAAATTCATATCATTAACCTGTTTATGCTCCTCAAAACTGTTAGTAGAATTTTTCGAAAATATGTTAACAGCATCTTCATTCAACTTGCTTTGTACTTCTCTTGTATAATTTAATGAATCGGTATTTACGTTTATGTATTCTGGATCTATTCGCTTAATATTTAAATCAAATTCTGTATTATTAGCTAGTTCAAAACTGTTATCTATCAAATTATTAATTAAAGTTTCGAGTGAGAAACCAGTAATATCTTTATCGGAATCCCGTTTGTCAATTAGACATATAGTTTTCCTATCTATATCTTCGCCGTGGTTTTTCATTGCAATATCTCTTTTAAAATATTTTGAAGGATAAAAATGTTTATTTCTAAAATCCGTATGTTGAATAACATCATACCTTCTATTTTCTCCAATAATCTTTTCGGTTTTATAAGATTTTGGTCCATTTACATGTATATTATGTTGGTTTAGGGGCCATCTAGTTTTTGTAATATCTATCGCTTCTAATTTCATCGACTTTGATTTCATATTATTCACATGTTGTTTGAGATCATATCTAAATTCTATTTTTGGTACTTTTTTATTACTGTATATAATTTTATATCTGCTGTCAAATGGATCCAAGTGTAGATCTTTCACAGATGGTTTTTCTTTAGTTACTGCAAGAAAATTTAAAAATATGTCAAATATGTTTGAAACATTTTTCACATTTCAGCTATACACAAATTCATAAAATGTACAAGTATGTTTGTAAATATATTTGTACAATTTATGGACTACATTAAATTCAGAGATATAAGGACGTAGTCAGTCGCCGTTAATACTTTAAATTTGTTCAATTAAAATCATACTGAGTTTTACTTAATCACATCAACTGTCTAGTCCTCTGTTAGGTTTAAAAAAAATTTATGAATTGATCCGTACAAGAATTAAACCTGAAATTTGATTAAAATGCTGCTACTTCTGCACCAAAGCTGTAACGAAATGGTAATGACGTACTTACACAAATTGTTATTCATATATTTTTCTGACAGATAATGAGTCATATGATCACGTTTATCAACTAAAAACATAGCGGGTTTATTATTTTCACTCTGTAGAGTTTCTTCTTGTAGTGAATGATTGATTGGTTGATCTTCAGCAACGTTCCTCTTGCTATCCGCCTTCTTTAAACAACCATTTGGGTAACAATATGTAGGTTGATCAATACACATTTGCACGCACACACATATTGGAGGTGTTTGATGGAATTCCGTGAAAATCACATTAAAGAAATGTTCTACAAGTACAGTTTTGTTATTATCGCAGGAAACACTATGTGATTCTAATTTCCTGTTCATACTGATGTATTGGCCTGAAATTGAATTTTTTGGTTATCCTTATAAATGCGTAAGTAACTCTGTCTGTCTGTCTGTCTGTCTCGCTTTCACGCCAAAGCTACTGAACCGATTTAAATGAAATTTAAATTTTTTCAAGGTCACTACAACACGCGGACGAAGTTGCGGGCACAGCTAGTATCTTATAAATCTCGGCATAGTATATGACAACCTAGTTAAGAATGCCCTAATAGTTACGCGCTCGGATTTTTCCGGACAGATAATTAAATAATATATACAAACCAAATTAATCAGAAAGAGAGTGGGATCAGTCCCCTGCCACTTTGGATCCTAAAGGGGAATGTGAGTAATTCGAATTTATCACTAGCAGTGTGAGGTTTACCTTCACGCAGTTCGCATTGGAGATCAACCAAAATTTCAGTACCGTACCCTACAAACGGAACAGCTTATGTGGGTCTGAGTGAAGAGCGCTGGTTTCGGTGCAGCCAACGATGGTGATAATTATTAAAGCACAAGGAGGTAAAGAAGATTGTTAGTATTATGGATTGATGATTTTATTGCTAACAATGTACCATGGCAGGTTGACCTCCACGCGGTTCCCCCTGGAAACCATCATGTTAAATTCTTGGTGAAATTGTCATGATGTGCTGACTGACCTGACTCATGCTCATCTTATCATTCCCCACTGGTGCCCTGCCAGCTAAACTGTCAGGCGAGTGCACCTTTCCATTATCATCCAAAAAAATTTAAAGAGGCAATAGAATAATAACAGTATATTATAAAAATATAACATCGTAATAAATATCTAATATATAATACACATTGTCAAGAAACAAGAAAATATTATATATCAAATTCTCGAGTCACAATGTTGAGAAAGAAGTCCTGTACAGGTTATAAAGCAACCTGCTTGGCGGCTTAAACTTACATAACCAAGCAGACAACTCTATAACGTAGAGGTCAATCCAAAAAGGTATATTACCTACAGACGTAGTCAGACATTAATTTGTTTACTTACATTTAATAATAGATAATAAACACGTAACGATCAAGACGAGCGTAGTCATCATGACAATTGAATAATATGTTTGTAATCACTTGTTGTCTAGCAATTTGATATGTTTATTATATAACCCAAACCAAACGGAGACTTTGATCAAAGTCAACCGTGATACCTACGTTTCACATATTTCTGCCGCCGAATAATTCGCTTTGTAGGCTGTTTGTGGATAATAAGAATCCAGCAAGTACGAACTGAAATTAGATTCGAAAGGTTCCGTTTTCAATCTGAAGTAATATTCTGTAATTCTAAAGGTTTTATGTATAAATAGAAACCAGCAAACTAATTAGATTTTATAATATATCATATATATAATATGTCATCTAAATTAAATGAGACATAAAGTATGTATAAATATCTGTTAGAATGTATAGATAGCGTGTCCAAATTCTCCAGGATTAATTACTAATTCGAGAATAAAAGAGAGAAAATTCGAGATGTATACAATATTGTTATTGTATACATATCGAATTTTCTCGGTAAGGTATCAAGTATCAAGCTTCTAACTTTAAAAATTACCATATTTCCATATAAACTTTAATCTCAAATTTCAACCCCTTACAACCCTTTTTTATTTGAGTCGATTCAGTAGTTTTGGCGTGAAAGCGAGAGTTACTTACTCATTTATAATATTATTATGTATGTTACAAAAGTATCCATAGAGTTGTATTACAAACACCTATAAGTTCCATGTGGCATGGATCCCTAAATCTGGAGAGACAATGCACAATGTATTGTAAACGAATGAATGAATACATCCTGATTTAAAAGACATGTGTAATTATAACGAAATATGTGTAATCTTTATTGTAACATACATTTCCTTTTTTTTTATTTAACATAATCAAGCGTGTTTATTTTTTTAATTTTATTTATTATATTTATTTTATTTAAAAGACATGTGTAATTATAACGAAATATGTGTAATCTTTATTGTAAAATACATTTCTTTTTTTTTTATTTAATATAATCAAGCGTGTTTTTTTTTAATATATATTTTTTTATTTAAAAGATATGTGTAATTATAACGAAATATGTGTAATCTTTATTGTAACATACATTTCCTTTTTTCAGCACTATCTAGGTCCATATCTAGCCATAAACTTGGCAGATTTTGAACTTTGGATACTAGACAATATGATATAAATATCTAAATACTTTTTAAATTAAACGACGGCTTCGGTGATCTCACGGTTCACAACTTTACTTCCAATGGTCCACAGAGAATATATGCTAATTTTTTTATTTATTTTAAACTTTATTGAAATTTATACTTGATAGGTAACTCTTGAAAATTATGAACCCATTATTTTCCAAAACGAATTATATATATAAAACAGCGAGATATACTATAACTATTTAGAATACAAACGTCATACTCACGAATATAATTTTCTGAAACGGGCGAGAATCATAAAGCTACTATCTCATTGGATGTAAACTAACATGCTAAACCGTAAAAAAGCAGAACATTGAAACCAATATTTGTTTTCCAATAAATTAAAATAGACATATCCAATTATATTTGTCTAAATAAGTATTTAATCATATATAAAAAATAAGAGAAATAAATAGTATGTTATTGTGTTTGTTTTTTATTAGTCAGCCATTACTTATCACTAGATACGTTTAGTGCAAAGACACATTGTGACAGCTTATCTCTCGGAAATTAACGACAATCTCATATTTTTTACGCAAATATTTAATTACGCGCACTTAGAAATATAACTATACAAACATATAAAATATCTCTTTTAACTTGTGATAAAAGTATGGTTTATTTAATTAACTGTTAAAATAACCTACTTATTTCTTAAAATATTGTGTAATTTGCTTGACTTAATAGCAGGTAGGGCGAACTGTCAAATTCACCAGGAATCAAATATGATGAATTTCATTAGAGACCGCATGGTGGTCGATTGCATATGACATATAGTAAAAATCCCCACACTCTACATGAAGCTACATTGTCAGGGTGTAATAAAGGAGTGTATTTCATTAAGAAAAAATTGAGAGTGTGATATAGTGATGCTAATTAGCACGTTCGATAATAGATTGTACCAGTGTACGTTTATACTACGACACGTAGGTCACGCAGTCGTTAATATATAGTCTTAGTAATTAGTCTAAGGTAGAGTAAACAACATGTAATAGTTAATATACAAGTTACTCCCTACTGTGTGTGTTTACTATCACCACCACTCCTGTCATCACAAGAGTCCTAAAAATATTGCACAGCGCTAAATCGGAGCAGATAATACCACCAAGCCGCTTTCCAGTCCCAACCTAAACAAAATTTGTGTTATGGGTACTAGACAACTGATATAAGTACAAAGGAAACCCCGACCGAATCAAACATCCCAGCTGCTCGAACCAACCGTTTTATCATCATCTTTCCTTATGCGAGCTAAGGAGTGGAACTCTACCAGCGTCTATTTTTCCTGCCTCTTACAACATTGGGTCTTTCAAGTCAAGAGTGAATAGGCACTATTTGAGCTTGCGTGTAACAGCTTAGACCACATCATCACTTAACATCAGGTGAGATTGCGGACAAACGCGCTCAAATTTTAATATAAAAAAACAACCAAATCCATGAATACAAATGTTTGTACCATGCAGGGAATCGAAACCGTGACAATCAAAAATAAGGCGGTGTGAAGAATATTATAAATGCAATATTGTGTTTATTTGTTACTAAGTCCGTTTGTTATCTTATCATGACTGAGCGAATGTTAATCAGATTTGTCGTATCACAAGGATCAACACATAATTATCTTATTAGAAAGTTAGGCATTTAGTTACTTAGATTGGGCACTCCAACTTTTTCGAACTATATATTCTAATGCTGTTAACTGCAACTGGTCTTTACAGGAATGACTTATGCGCGCTGAAAGCCAACTCCTGCCTGACTTGACGTGACTGAGGACACTACTAGAGATTCTACCCTGGGCTCAGGCCATTATAATTACGATCCCCGTTTTAATTGGACGGGGGATCGATCAGAGTAGTTAAATGTGGTGTACATCTATGCCACAATAGTAACATAAAAAAATCTATCATTCATTTAAAAAAAAATCAGACCAAGTCACGAGTAATAACTAGTAAATCATACATTTCGTTATTTAATTTCAATACACACAAGAGATCATTTGTATGTTTAGCTGATATCATTTAGATAATACCAAATGCTTATCATTCGTGCGTAAAGTCTGCTGTGAACGAAACGCTCCAAAAATAATAGAGATAATAGGACGCAATAGATAACAGTGTTTCGTTGAACATCTCGGAAGTGTTTAGTGTATGTATATTATTTTCAGTATTTTTATTATGTATCTAGAATAGAATTAAATATTTTATTTATATATAGATCTATTGCTCCTAAGTCCAGCAGTGGGAGAACATATTTTAATCTTTACATAGATTTATAATCAAGATATTTAAACTACGCAACGGATTTTAATGCAGTTTTTAGGCAGGCCCTGGGTACTGTCCTATATATATATACTACATATATATGAAACACGTAGTCAAAATAACAAAAATAGTAATATCATTATATTAATTTACAGCGTTATTTCTGTAAGACTTCATTCTGCAATTTTACAAAAACCTTTCAATCACGATTAATGTAAAAATTCTTATACTTTCACATCAATATTTAATTTTGCAAAACAAACGTGTAAAATTAAATATTTATTTACGATAAAACTTTGTATATATCTCTCAGATCGTTGTTTACTTTAATACAAACAACAGTTCGTGTACACTTATAATTTTCTCGCTTTATTTTCATTCGAAACTATTTTCAGAATTCGCCCACACGGTCAACGTACTCATGCTAAGTTGAAGATATATAAAAATAGATTAATTCATTTGTCAGAGTGATGCTGTTTAAAAGGACGTGGGATGAATCATGCCCGTGCGTGTGGGACCGCTGGGAATCTGACGGGACCAGCTGGATCATACAGGATCTGCCGCCTGAAGATGAGAAGGATGCACTGGATATACTGCTGAAAGACCAATGCCCGGAAGAAACTCTGTTGACATTAAATAGTCAGTTTATGTATTTTTCCCACATATTTTTAACTAGATGACCTGCGCAACCTCCTCTGCATCACACTTACTTCACATTTATCATTATATTTCGTCCAATTCACGTAATATATTTTTAAATTATAGCTATAAGTTTTATAGTGTAAATTTTATTACTGTAAACTTTCGTAAAGAAGCGTAAAAAAACAGCAAAAGCTGTCAAAATGAGACAATAATAATAACTCTTTATTGCGCACACAAAGAAAAATATTAAAATGAAAAACAAATATTTTACAAAAAGTCGGTTAATGTTTATTGTAATTTTATACGTTCATGTATAATTAGTTACTAGTTGGCAATAAATTTATTTTCTATTTATATCGATCGGATTAGTTTTTAATATTTCTATGTTCAGATATAGCTAACGATCCTGAAAGTTTATAGCCTATATGTCAATCTAATGTATAAGCTATATTACTGTAAAGTTTCATCAAAATCCGTTCTGTAGTTTTTGCGTGAAAGAGTAACAAACATCCATCACGAACTTTCATGTTTATAATATTAGTAAGATGTAATTAGTTATTAATTAACAACAAATTACTTTCTTTTCTTTCTATATCGATCAGAGCAGTTTGATAATAGTCTTTCATTGTTCAGATATAGCTAACGATCCTGAAAGTTTAGAATCGATGTGCAATGGATGGCAGTACTTCTTCAAACAACGTCTCACTCTCGCCTGCTATGCCGTATCTGGTGACAAAAGGACACTAGTTGGTCTCAATATATGCGCAGTAAAACTTAAGGGAGAAAATCTTGATATCGAGGTTTGTGCTAGTGATAAATAAAATATTATATCAGCTACTTTATCATCTAATGCAGTTGATAATAATCTTATTAAATTATTTATAATCCAACACTATGTACTTATGCCTAAAAGCTAAATTATGTACACATATTCAATATACGTTAGATAAGGTTATATAATAAAAAGTAAACTAAATAGAAAATAATATATAATTACGTAATACCACAGATAACGTAATATGGCAATACTATGAATCATTATGTTAACAGAAATATATTTATGAAAAAGTAATAGGGACAATCTATACATAGAAATAAAATTGAAGTGTCTGTTTGTAATATTGAAATAACCGTATTTTACTACCACTAGACCTAGGACGAGGTCTATAATGTTTTGTATATATTTTAAGATACGAGGGGAGAACTTTAAAAATCTGGTCAAGACATCAGTCTATATGGAGTCGAAAGCCAATTGCTTAGAATACTTGGGTCTGGACAAGGCTCTCATTGCTGTAGGACTGGTTGTCAAGAAGGAGTACCGAGGATCACGAATTGGAGGCAGACTTTTATCAGCGAGGTGAGTTATTTCTAGTATTTATTATAAACGCCTATTAATCACCTTTTTGTAAGTATATAACCCGGCTTCGTTTGCACGAATTACAAATCTTTGATTTTCTCGCTTAGTTCTGTACATTTATTATACATATAAACCTTCCTCTTGAATCACTCTATCTATTACTGAAAACTGCATTAAAATCCGTTGTGTAATTTAAATGATATAATCGAACAGACATCTCACATAATAGACAATTCACACAGCGCCAACTAATCTCAAGCTAAGTAGAGCTTGTGTTATGGGTACTTACTAGACGACTGATTTAAATACAAAGATATATTTTTTTGTAAGTACGTAATATACTATACATAGAAAACACCCAGACCGATACAAACAATCATACTCATTAATACAAATGTTTGTACCGTGCGAGGAATCGAACCCGCAAACATCTTTTCACATATTGTACATAAAGACATTATACAATTATTTGGGAAACCGTTTATTATTTAATTAGGTTTTGCCCGCGGCTTCGCTCACGTTAATTTATCCCCTTAGTGGTGGAATTTATCAAAATCCTTTCTTAGGGGTTGCCTACGTCATAGTAGCTTTATGCATGCAAAGTTTCAGCCCGATCGGTTTAATATTGGCAAAGTTTCATCCCCTATTTTATGCCTTTGGGGGTAGAATTAATCAAAATCTTTTCTTAGCGGATGCCTACGTCATAACATCTATCTGCATGCCAAATTTCAGCCCGATCCGTCCAGTGGTTTGGGCTGTGCGTTGATAGATCTCTATGTCTGTCACCTTTGAATTATATATATTTAGATATACGCATAGTTCTTACCTTTAAGTGTATTTGTGGGAAGTACTATGTTTCCTGCTTGACTTGAGACGACAGATGGTGTTATGGGATATTTTGAACATTATATGTCTATTTACAGAGAACCTTTATGTCAATTTCTTGGCGTAAAAGGTACTATATCGACGTTCACTGGGATAGCGTCACAGAAGTTGGCCGAGCGATGTGGCTTCACAACAATATGCGAGATCACCATCAAGCAATTGAGCGAAGCAGGGTTGAATTACCCCAAAGATGATAATAGAACATTAAAAATTATGGTCAAGAAATATGAATAAGGCTTACAAATATAAGATACTAACTAAATATTTGAATTGCTGAGCTTGTTTTATACAATATAATATAAATAGTATAAAACAAGCCCAGCAATATAATAAAGTTACTATTACTAAAAATATGCTAATACTACCTACTAAATTACTATTAATTTCCATATTAGGATAAATAAATAAAGGTTATTCAATAAACGGTATTTAGAAGTGTTATCCTATACCCTTATATAAAATGCAACATCTTTCTACCTCGTAAAATCGTGGCATCAAATAAAACTATTTAACAAAAAAAACTGCTAAAAAATGAGGATGAAATTTTCAAAGAAATTTGTCTTTAAACATTGCAGTAAATCAGTAATTAATCATATTAATTTAAATTGCCCGATTTAGATAGTTTTGTAAGTCGAAAATCTCTTGTCACACTGTTTGTACAAATAAAACACAACCGACGCTGTCCGTGGTGCTGTTGGACCGTCAATTTTTTTGTCATTTTAATTAGGTACTTGAGAAGTTGCTGATGAAAAAAATTGGGTTGATAATGGAACGATGCAACCATCTGAGCTAACAATTTAAGCTGGCGGTGCACTAGTGGAGGATGATAAAATGAGCATGAAGGAGATCCGTTCGCCAGTCTAGGCAAATGACAATTGACTACGATGGTTTCCAGGGAGAACCGCATGGTTCGCATGGTTCCAGGAGGTGGTTGCTGATAATTCTATTGCTCGATTTCACGACATTTGTTTCGTTCTTACGTAAAAAAATATTCGCAAATACAATACTTACACTTTAGGTTAACGTTCTCGACAAATGACACTAATTATTATACTTTTTGTTAAATATGAATACTTCTATGTAAGTATATTTAAAGTTGTAACTATTTACAATTAGAACCAATAATATGTGTAGTTTGTTGTTGAATATACATTAGATAGGTAGGTACAGTTGTAGTAGAAAAAATAATATTAAAAAGATTTCATTTAAATAAAATGTAAATAAAAATGCGTCAATTGATACTCAAATGTGCCAATACACTAACTGCGTAACAACTTGACATAAATAAGTAAGTATATATTTTTACGTAGGTAATATTAAATCTAGTACATTGGTAGAAAACATTTAGATATAATTGAAAAATTCATAGGTAATCCATAATCGTCAAATGTACCAAAACCAATCTGAATGTAATAACAGATTAGAAACCTATCTGGTGCGCTTTTAAAACTAAAATTACCTACTAAATCACATGTTTACAATTTTCTATCAAAATAAAGTGCGAAAAAACATATTACCAAACAGCACTGTAAAAATCTGTGCTTTATATATTTTACAAACGATTTAGAAATACATAAAGATTTGCAGATTTTGTCAACAAGGAAACTTCACATCCTATGTGATTGTAGCCCACTCATGCATCAACAAAATATCTCTTTTGAAAAGTACACACTCTATTCTGAGGAGTTAAAAACCATCGCTCCTAAGACTCTTCAACCCTGTTCTGTTGCCCCTTGGCCTAAGCAGCGAACTCTAAAAAAAGGGCAACCACAATAGATCTCTGCGGATCGCAGTACTACAGGTCTAAACACCGTGTAATATGAGTCCCATCAAAAACATAAATGTAAAATGATAGCCAAATTCAATATTATGATATAGGTATGGCTAGATTGTTGACTTCAACGACAAAAAATGTGAGATCTAAATGGGTGCCAAGTTCAATGGTCAGTCCTGAAATTTATTTATAACAATATAAAATATCATTTTTTCTTGTAGCCTAAGGTCAGACTGTGTGAGAAATTTGGAACACATATTTATCTCGCAAGTCTTTCTATATGAACCAAATTTGTCATGTTTATGTGAAAGAGTTTTTGAGTTATGAGGGGGTCAAAAGTGGATCCAAATGGTTCGTGTAAAACTACACACGCTCTGCTCGCCAGTTCTCTTACTGGAACTTGGATTTAACCAAAGATATAAACCAAACGCACGGGCAATTTATAAACCAGCTACACTAGGAGGACGATCTACTTGTACAGTACAACAAAGTCTTCAAAATGCTATTGGGACTGCCTCTTAGTGCAGCGCGTACGGCATATTTGCGGAAGCTCGAACTGGTTTCGCTGCAATCGGAAAAAAACTGCATCTCTGTTAAATAGAGAGGGGCTCAACCAATGGCATGATGAAGATAATTGGGACAAAATTTAATTGTACTGTTATGCTATATAATCTCGCTAATATAGTTTTTAAGTTATTCTCTCACTACCCCAAATGAATCTTCATGTCCGAATAAATAAATCATTATTATTAAAAAAGAAATATAATTCTTTGTGAACTGTACGCATAGACAAACATTATATCTAGATATGGTACAACACGAGAAGTACAAGGTGACTCTTAGGCATATATTATTCATCATTCGTGGTTTAGACTTAATTGCGGTCACTATTAACTGTGCATCTTTTCCTTATTTGCTTCTTATAAGGATATTATTAATAACAATACGTGATAAATACAAGTGAAAAGATTATTTATGTGATAAGTAATATTGGGATATATTTGTAACGTCAAGGTAAGTGTAGTTTAATATCAGTTTTATTTATATACTACTTATCTGTCATTTATTTACTCATAGAGATATCATATAGAAATCAGATTCATTTCGTTCAAATGTTTTTATAACTATATGTGCAAAAACGAGTGTTTTTCGTCTGTTTACATCGATGAAATATACATAGAAGTGTGAAATTTATTAAACAATTGTCGTAAACGACTAAATAGCTATTTTTTTATTTATAAATGTACCTATTAGCTGACACGGCGAATTCCGTTTCGTCTCAGAATTACCTATTTAGTATGTCAAAGTTCCGTAACTAATAATTTGCAGAAAACAAAAATATAATAAGCGAAAACATTTACTGCTAAACTCCCAACGGCTCCATCCGTTCCGTCTCTACCACGCTATCAGACAAACACACGACACCATCCTCGCCGACGAAAACGAAAACCTGTACCATCCAGCGCAACCTACAGGGCTCGTCCAGACGCTCCAAACCAGCACCCCCTGTCGATCTCCCGTTCAATTCAAACTTGGATCGAACTTACGACCTGAGCCAAGGTTCTAACTCCTAGCGGTGGTCACAGATTAAAGTCGTATCCGTGACGACTTTAATCTTTGGCCGCTGCCTAACTTTTAACCTTTGGCCGCTGCCTAACTTCTTCGCCGGGTAAAGAGTGGCATCTGAACTCATCACCTAATGTTCAGTGAAGCTATAAAGATCCGCTGTGATCAACAGCAATAGAATAGTTCGAAAAAAAGCGCGAAACTGAGAACTAAGTTGACTCCGCAAACTCACGCGACTTATTTATAGCCGTCGCAAAGGCCAAACACATGGTAGGTATATCGTAGTCGTTTAAAATCAAATGGATAATAGAATCATATACGCGGGATTAAGACATCGTCTCCTTTGTATTTTCCCTTGATGACTTTATTCGTAAACTTTTTCACAGTCAGTCTCGTTCCATGGCTACTATATAGGAACGAGACTGACTGTAAAAAAGTTGATTAATGTTATGTAGCGTGATGACTCACTAATCACCTTTGAACTTTAATTGTAAATTATAAGGTGGGATTATCCAGGCAAGTTCAATGAATTTAAAAAATCTGTGGGACTAGGTCATCCTGCTTGGAAATGATTTAAACGAAACGTCAATGAGACTATTTAGAAGAAAATTCTAAATAATCTCATTGAGAACATCGATAACTGTATTTTTTGGACTCAATATTGCTCGATCACTTATATGTTTATTCAACTATTGCTATTGCAGATGTAGTCATCCGTAAAAAACCCGTTAAACAAGTTCATAAAGGTCGTATTTTATTGCCTTCCAAATTAAAAAAATATTGAAGTCTCACATTGACAAAGGAGTTTGCTGTCAAAAACTTACAATACGTTCAGAAATTAATATTGCGAATATTATATTGAGATTTTTTTTACTAACATTTTTTAATATATAATTTGACATACATTTTTAAGAACGAAATAGAAATTAACTTTCTATTACTTGACAGTGGTGGAATCATTAATTTAACTTAATTTAATAATTAAATACTAAAAAAGAAGATATTTAAAATATTTGAACGAGCTATAAATATTTGACAAAAAACGATTTTTTTTTTGTTTTATTATCCGTAATCCGTTTGTTCCCAACAAACGACTATGTCATTTTTTCGATTTATTTTGGTTCGGTTTTTTTAATATGTCATTACTTTCACTTTATTTAGCAAGTAAAAGAGAAATTCAGAAAATAAAATTATCACTTTTATTTCTTCTATTTGACAGGTCTCATAGTTCGTATGAGTAACAAAATTTTTACCATGTATAAACCATTATAATAAAATTATTGTTTTACTATTTTTCTTGCATTTTTTTTCTCAGATATGAATTTCTTTATTATAAATACCGACATTTTTTATGTAGTGAATTTTTTGTGTATGAAGTTACAAAATAAATTTCTGAACATACCCTGTTTGACAGGTATGACCAGTTTGTATGAGGAAATAAAATAGTTTATACTGTTTTCCATGCAAATTCTTCATATTTTCTCACCACTTAAACCTTCCTTAAACTTCTACAAATGTTTCAAAACCAAAATTAAATACCCGTAGGTGAGAAGTTATAAATATTGTGCAGTTTCTACTAATCATCATTCATCATTTTACTTTTTAACTAATTTTTCTACTAATATACTCAGAGCCTTAAACAATGTTATTAACAATTGTCATTTGATTGAGATCTACACTTTTGTAGGGTCATTTACTGCAACCGTGCCTACTTACAACTTAACCAAAGGTGGATTGTAGTCTTATGCAGGGGACCTGTCTCACCTATATCAGCCGCCAAGCACCTTGACTTGTAAAATGTGTTTCGGTTGTAAAGTCAATTTATGCAGTGCTCTTCATGTATATAAGTAACAGTTACACTTATTTGGATTTCCAATTACATTAAAAATTGCTTGCAACTGCTACTCACAAATGGTTCATAATTCCCTCAAATATTGTATTTTCTGTCACTCTATTGTTATAGGGAGTGAGCACTTCTTATCCTAAAGTACAGGATTTTCCTGTTTAAGGAGAAAGGTTTTTAAGGAAAAGGACCATATATTTTAAGGAAAATGCAATCCAATTCAATTGACAATCTTTCATAATATTGTTAAATAATTAAAGCCCTATTTAGAATAAAAACAACTATATCAATTGTCCTAGTATACACTAATACAAACAATGCTTGGTTTTCCTGTAGGTGGCACTGTGTGTTGCCAGGTTATTTATTATTCAAATCTAATACCCAGTTCTTCGAAGGCCACCTCACAGAGGCTATGATGAACTACTTACATTGTGATTGACTGGTAAGGTAGTTTACCACACTGCTTTGTTTCTGATAGTTGCGGGTTCCATTCCTCACACAATACAATAATTTTGTATTCACAATTTTTATTCTTTGTATTGGTCAGTTTACAATAAAAATTACCCATGTATTTATTTCCCTGTCTAGTACCTATAACACAGTGGAACTAGATGGCACTGTGTTAATTGTCCAGGGCAAAAATAAATATATTTTATCAGAATCAAATTTAAAACAATCTGAATTAATTTATAAATATATGATGATAAAATGTGAAGTCAGTGATATTTATCTTGAGCAGTTTAGATGTAATATAAATATAAAAAAGTATAAAATTAATTTAAATGCTAAGAAGGAACAAACATTCCCACATTTGTGATCCTATATAGTAAATCTTTTACATAAATACTGAGAAAAATTCATATTATTATTGTAGAGTCATGCCATTTGAAAGAGTCTGGGATGCGTCATGCCCACATGTGTGGGACCGCTGGGAATCTGATGGCACCAGCTGGATTATACAGGATCTGCCACCTGAAGATGATGAGGAAGCACTGGATATCCTGCTGAAACATCTGTGTACTGATGAAGTTTTGTGTGCACTAAATGGTTAATGAACTTTCTCAATTATAATATAACCTCGATGGTCTAGTGGTTTAGCATACCGCTTTGCTTCCTATTGTCGCCGGTACGATTCCTTGCACGGTAAATATTTGTAGTCATGAGTATGATTGTTAGTGTGGGTGATTTGTAAGTATATTCAATGTGAATTTAAAAATAACTGTATTTAAGTATATGTATCTACTAGTTATCTAGTACCCATAACACAGGCTCGGCTTGGTTAATATAAATTATGCTGCAGTATAAATAATAGTAGGTAGGTATAGTTCATAATCATTAGTAAAATCTGGACTTAACTGATATGTGTTAATGTTTCATATAAAAATGGCTAGATTAATTAAAATTGTTAATTAATAACAAATTATCACGGAATATGTTGTTATATATGGGGCAACATACAGGCTTCTGAAAACTTCGGCAAAATGATTTTTCATAAATTTTACTATAATAACATTAATTAATTTTGTGGAATTTTCAACACGCTATCTAATATTTTATTGATTAATCAGTAATCCAATAATACTATGGATGGCGAAATAGGCGACAGATGTACACAAGTATAAAGTAACGGTCACCAGTATTATATTTTTTTGTTTTATTAAGGGGTTTGAGTTTCGCACCCGCCATAACTCCAATGGTCGCAGGTTCAGTTCCTCGCACGGTACAAATATTTGTATTCAAGAATGTGATTGTTTCCATCCGGAGGTTTTCTATGTATATAATGTATGTATTTGGAAAGAAAGATATATTTATGTATATATCCATTCTTTAGTTCTGCTTTGCTTAGGACTAGATGGCGCTCTGTGATTGCTCCTGAGATATGATAATATTATAAATATATATTATAAATAAAGCTATTTTGAAATATAATCCTTCAGATTTAGTCAACGACCCAGAAAGCATACGCGGTGCGTCGGATCTATGGCGAAGTTCCTTCAAAAAACGAACTACTCTCGCTTGTTATGCGGAGTCAGGTGGCAAGAGGAAACTGGTGGCAGTCAATGTATGCTCCGTAAAGGAGAAGGAGGATGACGCCAAGCTCGAGGTTGGTGGACATATAAAGAATAGTAATTTCAAAATTAAATTATTTTTTATCAAGAACTAGCTACTTGCCCCGGCTTCGCACGGGTGTTCATGTATTATATATATATAAACCTTCATCTTGAATCACTCCATCTATTTAAAAAAACCGCTTCAAATCCGTTGCGTAGTTTTAAAGATTTAAGCATACATAGGGACAGACAGCGGCAGCGACTTTATTTTATACTATGCAATGATAATGATGCGTGCGAGTTCATTTTTATTTCGCCTCTATATGTATAAGGATAAAGTCAGAATTATAAATTCATGTTTGTAGTGCATTGGCATATGGCTTTGTCTTATTATTGACGGCCTTGGTGGTCTAGCGATTTAGCACGCTGCTTGACTTCTGATAGTGACGAGTTCGATTCCTCGCACAATACAATTAATGAATATATTTGTATACATAAGTATGAGTGTTTGTAGTAGTCTGGGTATTTTCTATGCATATTATGTATGTATTTACTAATAAAATATATCTACAAATTTATATCAATTGTCTGGTAATAACGCAAGCTCTGCTTAGATCGTGACTAGATGGTGCTGTGTGAATTGAAACACAAAGTTATGTCATGTTATTTAAAACTAGGCCCGGAATCATAATATTCCCTTGGTCATCAGCCTTAGCCCGCCACTGATTACAAACTTTACCTATTACAAGTATATCTTATTTACACTATTCTAGGTATATACAAAAATCTACGAATATGTCTAACAGTTGTCTAGTGTCTATAACTTTGCGAAGTTTGAAACAAGACTGCACTGTGGACGCCGAGATTTACATTCACTTATTTATTTTGTATCTCAATAGCTTGAAGGACAAAAATGGATTAATGTATATAAAGTACTTGAGTATATGGAAGAGAAAATTGATGGCTTCGAGTACTTAGGCCTGGACAAAGCACTTTCGGCCCTAGGACTTGTAGTTCATAGAGATTATAGAGGAAAGAAGCTTGGGGCCAAACTCTTAGCTGCAAGGTGAGTTGATATTTTAATTGGTTATTATTAATCCTTTGAGCCGGATTTTATGATTCTAATTTGTTTTACCCAAGTAAACTTTGCAGAAAGGTATCTGTGTGGGTTGCTTTAAATTGTGAGATATATATTAATAATTAATTGTTTAATCTTAAAATTATGACATTCCTTCCTTATTACGATGTTTTTTTTTATTGATGAGAATGGAATAGTGCATTCGTCTGCGCTAACGGTGTAAGCTAGGAGGGCACCAGCAGACGATGATAAAATAAGCGTGAGGTCAGGTCAGTTAGCCCATCGTGACAAATTCACCAGGAACTTGTCATAATAGTTTCCAGTTGATAGCAATATTCATTAGTTATGGTACATTAGTCCACATTACTAACCATTCCCCCAATCTATGATGTTATAACGTTTTTACTAACTTCATTACAGAGAGCCACTATGCCGCCACCTAGGTATAAAAGGTACGGTAACAATATTCACCGGGGTCGCAGCACAAAAGTCGGCGGAAAGTTGCGGCTTCACAACAATATTAGAGATGACCGTTAAGGATTTCGCAGATATCGGAATGGACTATCCGAAGAATGACCTCAGACTAATCAAATACATGGTCAAAAAGTATGATTGAAACTTTAATAAATAGCATACTTGTTGCATACCCCGAGATTGGCTGCGTGAGATACAGGTTGTATGTATTTCATGTAATAATACAGGTGCATATTCCTGCTACAGACATTATTATGCCTAAAGGAAAACTCCAATATATAATATAGATAGCACATAAATAAAGATATTTTTTTTTATAATTTGGACAATTTTTATTTTTATTCTTATCAAAGCTCCTTGTAATTTATGCACTCCTAATATTTACTGTGAAGTAGATAGTCCAATATTTGCAATGGTACTGAGTGAGAAGAGATGTTTGTTAATCGCTAAGTAATAAAGCTTTCATCATTTATCGGTAAAGTCCTATGTGTTTTTGTTTATAAAATACAGTAAATATATTATTGAATGGAACATTTGAATTCATGTACACGTCAAATTAACAAAAAACAACATTTAAATAATATAAAGTTTTATTTAACATTATTTTTGTATATTTACAAAGCACTTGGCACAATTAAATAATGCATTACACACTGATGTTATATCATAACAACATAACACGAAATAAACCTTAAAATCTGAGGTATACGATGGTATATTCTAAGCATATTTTATGTGTACCTCAAAATACAAGAAATCTATGATGTTTATGTACTCGCAGAGAAAAATTTTATAATCTGCAGATAAATGCCGTTGCTATATTATTATTTTCGGCCTACTCTAATGCTATTGGCCGCAGCTGGTCTTTACAGCGTCACCAGCCGATAGGGGGCGAGTGCAGATGGCACACCAAACCCGCGGAAGGACTTATGGAGCAACCGCGCCCGCCCGAGTCTGAGGGCACCGCTAGGAATCGAATCGCGGTTCAGACAGTCGTAATTTCGATCCCTGTTTGAATTGGATGGGGGATCGATCGGTGCAATACCTTTTGCATTTTAAGGAAGTTAATTTATCATAGTTTTTCTCCAAATATAAATACTATAAGAATAAACAGGAAACGAACAAACTGCGTTCGTTATTAATATGAAAATGTTTATTAATTAAAATAAATATATAATATATAAGGTCACTACACTATACCAGATGCCGTACTAAGAACAATCTCAATTGTAGAATCACGAATTTATAAACGTAACACTTGTTATGTTCACATCTTGTATATAAAATTCTCGTGTCACAGTTTTCGTTCCCATACTCCTCCGAAACGGCTTGACCGATTCTCATGAAATTTTGTGAGCGTATTGATTAGGTCTGAGAATCGGGCAACATCTATTTTTCATCCCCCTAAATGTTAGGGGTAGTCCACCCCTAATTTTTTATTTTATTTTAAGGCAAAACAACGTTTGCCTGGACAGCCAGTTTATATATATTTGTATACAACGAGGTAGAAAATCAAACACGTTTATTTTGTTTCTGTTTTTTCTGTGTACATTTAAAGAACCTACCGCTGTCTCTCGCATTAATTCTGTAAAAAAATGCTTGTAGTGTTAAGACAGCCTTGTATGTTCTTCGTTAACATGCTGTTTTTGCTCTTTGTTACTAGCTACTCGGCCCGTCTTCGCCCGGGTGCATTATACATATAAACCTACCTCTTGAATCACTCAATCTATTAAAAAAAACCGCTTCAAAATCCGTTGCGTATTTGTAAAAAATTAGGCATACATAGGGACGGACAGACAGCGACTTTGTTTTATACTATGTAATGATGATCTGTGCGCAATAAAAGACAATGTGATTATTAATTGAACATAGTAATACAGACTATCATAGTAAACCGTAGTATAAACATCACCTCAATAACGGGCATAAATATATTATCATTCTATTTGAACGGGTGTAATATATACATATATATACTGCATATAAAAAATATATTTATAAATACATTTATTTATGTTATTGTAAACAAGCTGACGGTCCACCTGATGTTAAAAGAATAGTGGTAACTGTCGCCTATATACAATGAAAAACACTACTACTTTATATATACATACTAGCAGACACGGACATACATAGCTGTGGCTCAGGGTCTTGATTAAAATAATATTGCGCCTATAAATTGAGATGTAAGCTAAAATAAAAAGTAATCTTTGAAGTTGAATCAAATTGCACACAATGTGCAAATCAAATTTTCAATCAGTTTAGTAGTTTAAGAGACCATCGCGGACAAACTACGTGACACGTAATTTTTATATATAAATATATATATATTTTTTGTGTTATATAAAAATTACTACCTAATGGATTTCTATTATTGTTAAATTACGCTACAATTAGCATGTGTGAGATCACAATTATTCTATTGGTGAGCAAATTTCGTCCGTTATTGAGTCTACACCCATATTGCGAAACGTGTTTCGCCTCTGAACGAGGCATCATCAGGCATTGAATGGGGCACCGTAATAACACAAGCTGTGCTTAGCTTAGGACTAGATAACGCTGTGGGGATTGTCCAGGGTCTAAAAGTATATACATACCAGGGCAAAATCCAGTTATAGTAATTTTGAAACTGAACAATCTCGAACAGTTTCTAAATTGCAATACAAATTGTTGGGTAATGCTATCAGTTTAGTATATAAAGTTTAGATTTATATTCGGACATTTTGTTTCTTGGTTTAATGGATCAGTTATATGAGAAATCTACCTTGCTTTTGGCTCAATAAATCTATATATTTGACTATATAGGCGACGATCACACTATCATTAGGTGAGGCGTCAAATTGTTTTCAATTTCAGTTATATAAAACAAACAATATATATACTAACATATGCATATATTATATATAAGAATCATTAACAAAACCTTTGATTGTGATATGGTAAATTCGAACTAATCATGTGCAATAGAAATTGGCACGTAATACTTAACTATTTAGGTCTAAATTCTGGAAGGCAGTGTTCCCGAGGGTTTGGAGGCGGATCGTCTGTGAGGTACGCGCTGAGGAGTACTGGAGCACAGACGGGAATGTTGTGAGACACCAGCCACTCAGCGTCGCGGGCAGACAGCGGGTACCGCTTCAGATCCGCGAAGCAGACTGTGATTTCTTCTGTGATATCGTTGTACGGGGGCCTGGGGAAATATTTATATTTAATTACTAGGTGTTGCGACTGCGGGGCTGACGACGAGGTGACCATAACACGGCGACGCGAGGATAGTGATTAGTGATGCTGGACGGTATATGTCGGGGCCAGTCTACTACCAGGATTTCGTGTCTATGGTGGAGAATTTAGAAGGCTCCGTAAATATGCGTATCAGTATCATAGGAGGCGAAGCAGATCACCTTGAGCGGTACTAGGAGGTATTGAAGACATTTGAAAGTATTTGGAAGAAGATGGAGTGCTGCCACAATATCCTGCTCCAATGTCCAGAAAGGGAAAAAAGTAATCAAAGAACAAGGAACAAAGATTAAATGTTTTGTAGGGAGTCGAGAGAGGTGCGCGTTTGCGTGCATCTCCCGTATTTCGGCCAATATAACAGTGAGGGTTTTTTTTTTAATGGAATGGTGGGCCTGCCTGCGGTAACGGTTTACGCTGTCGGGTCTCCAGTGGCGGATGATAAGAGGACCATGAGTCAGGTCAGTTGTGGAAATTGAGCATGAGGTCAAGTCAGTTAGCCCATCGTGACAAATTCGCTAAGAATTTATCATGATGAGTACCAGGGGGAACTGTGTGGAAGAAACCTGACATGGTACATTGCTAGCAATAAGATTATCGGTTCACATTAGTAACAGTCCCTGTTCCCCTTAACCGGGAGGTTGGTAGTTGGTGGTTGGTTCAACCAACCCATGAACATATGAGTTGGTTGGAAGATCCTCACGTGAGGGCCGGCACGTGCAGCAGGCTGGCGGCGGTACTCACGTGAGGGCGGGCGCGCGGCCGCCGCCGGCGAGCACGAGGCGCGCCAGCAGGCGGCGGCGCGCGGCCGGCACGTGCAGCAGGCTGGCGGCGGTACTCACGTGAGGGCGGGCGCGCGGCCGCCGCCGGCGAGCACGAGGCGCGCCAGCAGGCGGCGGCGCGCGGCCGGCACGTGCAGCAGGCGGGCGGCGGTACTCACGTGAGGGCGGGCGCGCGGCCGCCGCCGGCGCGCACGAGGCGCGCCAGCAGGCGGCGGCGCGCGGCCGGCACGTGCAGCAGGCTGGCGGCGGTACTCACGTGAGGGCGGGCGCGCGGCCGCCGCCGGCGAGCACGAGGCGCGCCAGCAGGCGGCGGCGCGCGGCCGGCACGTGCAGCAGGCTGGCGGCGGTACTCACGTGAGGGCGGGCGCGCGGCCGCCGCCGGCGAGCACGAGGCGCGCCAGCAGGCGGCGGCGCGCGGCCGGCACGTGCAGCAGGCTGGCGGCGGTACTCACGTGAGGGCGGGCGCGCGCCAGCCGCGCGCGGCGAGCACGAGGCGCGCCAGCAGGCGGCGGCGCGCGCGGCCGGCACGTGCAGCAGGCTGGCGGCGGTACTCACGTGAGGGCGGGCGCGCGGGCGCGCGGCCGCCGCCGCCGGCGAGCACGCGGCGCGCCAGCAGGCGGCGGCGCGCGGCCGGCACGTGCAGCAGGCTGGCGGCGGTACTCACGTGAGGGCGGGCGCGCGGCCGCCGCCGGCGAGCACGAGGCGCGCCAGCAGGCGGCGGCGCGCGGCCGGCACGTGCAGCAGGCTGGCGGCGGTACTCACGTGAGGGCGGGCGCGCGGCGCGCGCGCCGCCGCCGGCGCAGGCTGGCGGCGGTACTCACGAGGCGCGCCAGGCGGGCGCGGCGCGCGGCCGCAGGGCGGCGCGCCAGGCGCGCGGCCAGGCTGGCGCAGGGCGCGCGCAGCGAGGCGCGCCAGCAGCTGCAGCAGGCTGGCGGCGGTACTCACGTGAGGGCGGGCGGCGCGCGGCGAGCGCCGCCGGCGAGCACGAGGCGCGCCAGCAGGCGGCGGCGCGCGGCCGGCACGTGCAGCAGGCTGGCGGCGGTACTCACGTGAGGGCGGGCGCGCGGCCGCCGCCGGCGAGCACGAGGCGCGCCAGCAGGCGGGCGCGCGCGCGGCAGCAGGCTGGCGGCGGTACTCACGTGAGGGCGGGCGCGCGGCCGCCGCCGGCGAGCACGAGGCGCGCCAGCAGGCGGCGGCGCGCGGCCGGCACGTGCAGCAGCGCGCGCACGCCGCCCAGCGGCCCCGCGTGTCCGGCTGCGCGTGCAGCTCGCCACCGGTGCGCGGCCTGCGCCAGCGCCCGCTCCGCGCCGCACACGCCCGGTAAGCACGTGGCCCGCGGGTTGCCCCACTCGAACTCCTCCTCCTGCACATTACAACGTCATATCATATACCACCATATGGAAATTATATTTATTGTATATAAATTTAACAATCAAATTACATTAAACAGCATAAATAAAAAAAAATCGAATATCAATAAAAATTGGTCGCAAACTTGGAACTAAGCGCCACGCCGTCATTGTAAAAAATACAAAAAATTGCCAACTAGCAAAACCTAAGTACAGCGCCTAACATAAATATACGCCCACGTCCTATGTAGTTGATAGCCCGCAAAAACGAAATATTTCCTTTTGAAATTCTATCCCGAAGAGATAAGAAGAGAAGGAAAAACCATCGCTAGTAAGAATATCCTTTAATTTTTGTCTTTTTATTGATTGGTCTATGTAGCGAACTTTGAAAAAAGGTGAGCACAATAGATCTTGGTAGATCGCAGCGCTAAAGCACCTGGCAATAGGTAAAACCCCTTAAAAAAATAAAATTAAAAAAACGTTAAATAAAGATGATTTAGGGCCGTCAGCTTATTTAGCAATGGAGATATGAACATTACATATTTAGATATGAACCCGGATACCGACCGGCAGGAACCCCCCGTGGGCGCGGCTGCGCGGCACGTACGCGGGGTGCAGCACCCAGCGGCCGGCCGCCACCGACCCGAGCATCTTCTCGCTGCGGCCGGGCGCCGCGCACAGCAGGTGAGTCGCCGCCTCGTCCAGCTCCGAGCCCTCCGACACCTCCCCGCCCAGGTACTGGATCATCTCCACTATCTCTTCGCGGTTCTGTTACAAAGATCATAATGGCTGCCGTTATACGACACGTTCTTTCACACGCATCAGGAGCGCGTGCAAGAAAGCTAGCGTGCGCAATGTTAGAAGAATCCCAATAGCTGCTTTTCCACGACACGCTCTTTCACGAACATCAGAACCGCACGCGAAAAAGTCAGTGCGCACAAACCTCAGTGACTCTCTTTTACTATTTTTTGTGTTCACTCTTACACGCATGATCATGTCATTTCACTTTCCTTTAAAAATTCATTTCTTAATCCACAGATTTTTAATTGATTAAGATTTAGACGACCTCGGTGGTCTAGCGGTCAAGCACACCGCTTTACGACCGATGGTCGCGGGTTCGATTCCTCGCACGGCACAAACATTTGTATTGATGAGTATGATTGTTTGTATCGGTCTGGATGTTTTCTATGTATAATATGTATGTATTTACAAAAAGAAATATCTATGTATATGTATCAGTTATCTAGTACCCATACAATAAAATACCAGAGTCTGTTATAAATCTGCCAGAAAAAACATTTAAATGTCAAAAAATACACTTCCTTTGCAAAAAAGCTTACTATAAAATTGAAGAATTCGTTAACGATAATAATGTTTTTGTAGAAAAATTTTAAGTACATAGCACTGACAATATTATCTGATTACCTACACTAATAAGAGTGCGTAGCGATTTCTATGTTGATTGTCGCATGCCTCTTACTTGTTACACTGTAATTATTTATATAAAAAAAAATATATTAAAAAGAGCAACACACAAGTTTCTTGCTCATTCTTCTTGTGATGAATCTGCATTCCGAATGAGTGGTAGAATCAAAATATGACTATTCAAAAGTGCTTGTAATGAGTTTATTTGAATAAAGATTATTTCTATTTCTATTTCTATTTCATAACCCAAGCTCTAGCTAGCTTAACTTGGGTCTAGATGGCTCTGTGTGAATTGTCCTGAGATTATTATTATTATTTATCAATAAATATAATATCTCTATAGAATAATAACTGTATAATTATGTCATTGCTCCATAGTCAGATGTATTTGTATTTTGCAATGATAATTAATTATTACAAGACGCTAAACCACACACAATTGAAGAATGCGCGATGGCGGCGCGCGCGCTCTTTTACGCTCTCTTTGTCTAAAGTAAGTAGATGTATATGCATGTAAAATGCACATTCTTTCTTGCGTGAAATCCTATTCGCCTGTAAAAGAGCGACAATCTACAATACTCACATCTACATTAGAAGACAGCATGAATCTCTTGATTTTTGGGACGGGTGGTTCTTGTTGTGGCGGAGCGGACTCAGAAACGGTGGCGGCAGCGGTAGCGGACGCGGAAGCGGAAGCGGGCGCTGATGTGGGAGTAGTATCATCCCAACCCACCGTGTTAGGCTGCGACTCTGGTCCCGCCTCTGGCTCTGGTGCTGTAAATATTTAATTACAATTAATTAACAAATAAAATTGCGTATCCCTCATACGTTTCCATTTTGGAGGCATGGATGGAGGATAGCAGCGAAATAACAGACTACGCCTCTTTAGGCAGTCTGTAATTTTTCTGCTATATTTTACCATTCAATCAAAATATAGTTTACCAAGGAATAAGCTTGGCCGCTGTAATATGTGAGACAGAACATACAATAGCGGCGCACATGACGTTGTACAAAGTGAATCACGATATATGTAACTTACATATAATAAAACATTAATGGAATTACCCTTAAATAAATTCAAAATATCTGTTAAATCATATTTACCGAGCAAAGCCTATTACTCACTAAACGATTACTTGAATGACGATCGTGCATGGCAATAGTTGATCATGCACTTGATTTTCATTTAATGTTAGACATAGACACCTATATAAATATACATTGTAAATAAACTGGCTTTTAAAAAAAAGTAATTCAATTGAGTTTCTTGCCGGTTCTTCTCGATTGGATCTATATACCGAACTGGAGGGTAGGGAAAAAAAATATAATGTAAAAAACTTTACGTTCAGAAGCTACTAAAATGTCCTACATGAATAAATGATTTTTGCATTTGAATATAAATTTAAATTAATATCGTAACAAATTTATTAACACGTTGACGGCGTCTATAGCCGTCAAAGCGAAGTTCGCTATATGGTATGCCGGCAATAGCCGTCTAAAACAAAACGATCGTTTTTGGACACTGTGGCTATAGTGGCACAAATGTGCATTTACCGGCGTACAAGTAGAAGCCTAGTGTCATGTTTTGGAAACAAATTGTTAGGTTGAATTTTGTTTTGCACCTGTTACACAAATTGCAGCTTCAGTACGCACGTGGTTGCGAAGGGAGTAATACGATTGTGTTTTCTCTTGAATTGTATCAAAACTAAGTTTATTTAAGCAGAAAAAGTGAAACTATATTACTCTAATATTATAAAAATTACAAAAACATGTAGTGTTTATTTTCAAACTTCACTTGTTCCTACTGTCCGTCAATATTTTAAAATAAATATAATGGAGAAAAATCTTATAAAATACCCGGTGCTAGTGACGCTGAGTCTCGAGTACGGCGCGCTCGCTGCGAACTAAGGCGGTTGGTAAGTGCTGCATTCAGCCGCTGCAATTGTGCGTCCACCGCTGCAGGCAGCGCGTTCGGACTGCTCGTAGCGTTCACACTTTGAGCGCTCTTCGATGTTGTATCCGGATCACTGATATTTACACCGCTGCCTGCGCTCTAAATTAATAAAATAAATAATATTGTACACATAATTAAAGTTTGAATAGATTTGCATTCCTGGTGTTCAGACACCCATAGACGACGGTAACCGTTAACATCAAATGGGCCGTATGATTGTTTGCTTGCTTGTTGCTGTTCTAGGTCTTCTTATACTATCATGTACTTCTGTTCTTGTCGCTCTCGGGTCTAGGTAGCTAACTTTGAACAAGGGCGAGCACAATAGATCTATACAGCTCGCAGTGCTACAGGTCTTAGAATCTGACAATAGCCCCCCCCCCCCCATAATGTAACACCTTGACCTGAATACAACTAAATGTACGAAATTAAAAAACTTACTTGATCGATAGATAGTTTTGGCATTTTCGCTGGAGGTGTTTCTGCTTGTTCCTTTAAAGAAAATAACACTATTATAATATACACTCATCATTTAATTTTGTTTACAATTGCATGCGGTGTAAGGGATACCTTCAGTCTTATTCTAAGTACTAAACCGTTAAACCTCTACGGTTCTGACCTTCTAATATTTCAAGTAATGTACAGCTGCGTTGTAAGTGAGGAGTGTGTTACCTGCGGGAGCAGCATCAGCTTGCGCGGGGGAGCGGCGGGCGCGGGCGCGGGGGGCGTGTCCGCGCCAGAGAACTGCGCCAGGAACCGACTGCGGACCTCCGACAGCGGCTGCGATACACAATAATTGCGTTTACATGTACGCTCTTTCACTTACCAATGCAGATTCTTTCCTTCGTGAAAGCCTACGAAGGAAAGAATCTGCATGTAAATGTGGACAAAGACAACGAGAAAACCCGCGCGCGCCGCCAAGGAGCGCATTCACTGTACTCTGAAACTGTGCGTGCTTTAGCGTCTTTTTTGACGAAAATCGTACTCGCAAGCACGCGCGAAAGAGTGAACAAAAAATTAATTTTATGACGATTGCGCGCGCTGACTTTCTCGAGCCAAATGACGGTCGCTCCTTATCACGTGTGTACAAAATGTGAGCTTGTTTATGCGGATAAGAGTGTGCACGTAAAAATAGACAAACGAAGACGAGAACATGAGCCCACGGTGCGCTGCAGGCAGCCGCTGCACGAGCGGTGCAGCGCTGGCGTCGCTTTAGTTAGACAAGTATCTCACGGTGTGCGCGCGGGCCGGCGGCGCGCGGTGCGCTGCAGGCAGCCGCTGCACGAGCGGTGCAGCGCTGGCGTCGCTTTAGTTAGACAAGTATCTCACGGTGTGCGCGCGGGCCGGCGGCGCGCGGTGCGCTGCAGGCAGCCGCTGCACGAGCGCCCACAGCCGCTTGCGGGCAGCTGGAGACAGCGCAGTACCCGCTTGCAACGCTGCACCAAACGCGCTATCCGGCGTGTCCGGCTCCTGTGCGACTGTATAAATCAAATGGTCAATAAGATTATACTATAAGAAGAAGAAGGCCAGTTTTATAAGAAGACAGCAACACTTTTTATTTTGATTTGATAAGATGACAAGCAAACTGTCGGCCGCTTAATAGCGAGGTCTAAGAGGTCAGAATACCGTTCCGAGTGTGGTGCGGGAGACGGGAGAAGGGCGCAAACTCACAGGGGTCGAGGGGCGTGCGCACGGGGTCGGAGGGCGCGTCCCCGCAGCGCAGCGCCCGCAGGCGGCGCCGCGTGGTGGGGCTGAGCGCGGCCAGGTTGGGCGACGACAGGGCTTCCTCCAGGGGCGGCGTACGCACCGCGTACTCCTCTTCTGTATATTAAAAACACAATTCGTCAATAATAATATGACAAAAGAGTCATAAAGTGTGTACCATATCCAAGTAGAATCACTCGTAAAACTATTCCACAAAGAAACAACAACACAACTAAAAATAACATTTTCATACTAAATTTATCACATGTCTATGGAGTTTTAAAGACTTTATTATCATTTTAGACACTATTTTCAATAATATTTTTTGCAATGATTTGTACAATTTCATGAATTAACTATAACTCACTTTCATATTGCTATATTCTTTACGACTAAGCCTGTCAACCAGTAGCACTTATAATGTAGCAATTATATTGAAAATACTATATAAAACATACAGACCGTTGTTGTGTCCGTTGTGTTCGAGCAGTTGCTTGGGGGTATCCTGTGTGTCTCCGCCGAGAAGTCCCTGACGTGCCATTGCGATGTAACGCGATGCAGGCGACATCTCATCTAACAAACCAAAATAGTTATTCATTTTATATACTATTTTACTTTAGTGGTATATCTGCCAACAAAGATAACTTAATTTAAGCTTAAAGTCGAGGGTTATCGCCCCCGACGCCAGCCGGGCAAAGGGGCCCCAAGGCCCTGACCTGCACCTTCCTTGGGGTCCAAAACCACCATCAAACTCAAACTTGCTGGGCACCAAACTCATGTCATGTGGTAATTTTTTGTGTAACTGGTATGGTCAACAAGGTGTCGGTCTGTTGGTAAGTGGCAACTGTCGCCTATATACATTAACAGCACCACGGACATCATATGGTACCGTGCTACCATTCCGGTGGATTAATGTAGTAAAGTTGTATACAGATTTAGCACGCTGTACTTCCGATGATCGCGGTTTGGTTTACTCACACAATACATATAATATAAAAAAACGACCAAGACCAATATTGAATTTTACTCATGAATAAAAAAATTTGTGAATATGTTTGTTTGTATTGGTATACATTTACAAAAAGAAATATATATTTAAGTATTTCTATCAGTTGTTTAATATTCATAACACAACTCCGCTTAGCTTGAAGCTAGATGGCGTTCTGTAAACAGAGGTTTAGGTACATAAAAATTCTTGAATACAATAACATAACACACATACAATAAAATAAACTGAAATTTACGTTCTATACAGTCAATATTACATTTACTTTTACCTCAAAACAAAGCTAAATGTTCTATACTAACCTACAGGGACCTTCGTCTTAGGAGTGTCCTCTCTCCCGGGCAGGGAGCCCCGTCTCGATGGAACTCCAGCCGGAGGCTGCATCAAGTTCTCCTTGTCTAAGACGCCAAGCTCTTCTCCTGTTACCTCAACTGCTGCCTCTTCCATATTTTTTTCTGGTGATGATGGTGCTGTTAACAATTATTCATTCATTAATGTTAGTAAATTTATGGTCATATCACGAAATCTAATTTGTATTATCATCATCATCATCATTTCAGCCCGGAAGACGTCCACTGGTAAACAGAGGTCTCGGCAAAAATCTCCACGATCGTCGATCCACCTTATCGAAGGCCTTCCCATGCGGCGTCTTCCGGTCCGCGGTCGTCGAAACCTGGCCGCACCTCACCTTTACAGGTTCGCTGAACGATAGCGCAAATGGCTCTCAATACCTGCGGAAGGATTTATGGAGAGACCGAGGGCCAATTCCTGACGGATGCGACTTCAGACTGAGCATCGCTAGAAGTTCGACCCTCGGCTGAGGCGTCGCAATAGCGATCCCCGTTAAAATTGGGCGGGAGGTCGGTCGGCAACAGGTGAGCTCCTTAAGTGGGCAACTTACGCCGGGTGTCCCCCACGAGGTGCCCCCGCTCGGGCAGCCTGCGCGCGGCGCGGGCGACGGCCAGCAGCCAGGCGCCGCGCACGGCCGGCAGCCCCCACTTGACGGCGCCCGCGTACTTGTCCCCGGCGGGGGTCGGACAGATCAGGTGCGTGGAGGCCAGCGCGTTAGCGGTGTTACGACGACAGAACCGCAGCTGCATGCTGTGGGACACGATTACCTACATACTTACGTAATACTTACAATTAAGGTTAATAAGACCAATTAAACAGTCTACAAAGCACTGCACAAACCGTGTCACCCCACCCAACGTTTTACTATTTATTATTTACTAGCCCGCGATTTCGCCCGCGTTAAATTTCAGTATATAAATTTCTTTAATAAATATAGCCTATATGTTATTCTGATGTATAAGCTATATTAATGTAAAGTTTCATCAAAATCCATTTAGTAGTTTTTGCGTGAAAGGGTAATAAACATCCATATTCACATACTGTCGCGTTTATAATATAATATTAATATTTGACTTCAATACACCTTTCATTACATTAATATTTGACTCAACATCTTGCGGCGTTATCTATCAACCATGAGTGGTGCAGAGAAAGATTGTTGGCTGTGCACTAATATAAATGAAACCTGTAAAAAAATATATATAAGGCAAAATACATATACCATTTCTATAAAAGAAATATACATATTTATACGGATATATATATAAATATACGGAAATATACTATATAAATAAATACTTAATGATCTGACAACCAAATTATAAGTACAGCCTCAAATTGAAAATAAAAAAGAAAAAAATTTAGAGCAATAGGTTATAGCAACAGCTTTACGGAATACAGTTTTTTAATGTTATTAAGAACTTGATTAATAAAAAAAATTGCAACTTACGTAGCACCAAGTAGTTTGGCCAGTTCATCAAGAAATGCCCTTTCGACCCCGCTGTAGGTACTGAGGCTGGCCACCACACCTTGTAGAGGTGGGGGACCAGACCACTGCGGTAAATTCACCGGTCGGTGGTAATACTGTATTGGTAGTAATTTTTGCTGTGAGAGGCAGTCTTTCTGTATGTAATAAAATATTCAAATATTATACAATCAAATTCGATTCGATATTCAAATAATAAGGCGTAGATAAGGTTTCTCTTTTATTTTCTTGAATATAAAAAAGTACCGTTAATTGGAACTGGAATTATCACTATGAACTGTATTACATTATTAACACGAGAGCCTCAAGCGAGTGCTCATGTAAATAAATTTATCAACGAGTGTTGTATGTGTGGTGTGTTTATAGATCATAATTTACAGGCTTTAGTTCATATCCGGCTCGAAGGACCAAAAATAATAAATCATATTTTTTATTACAGAAAATATACTAGATAAAGCTATTATCGACGTCGACGTCTAGTACGTTACGTTACTTATAATAATAATAACCCAGGATAATACACATAGCGCCATCTATTCCCAAGATAAACAGAGCTTGTGTTATGGGTACTAGACAACTTTGATAGATATGCTTATATTTCTTTGTCTTTCACATACACAATATACATAGAAAACATCCAAACCAATACAAACAATCATAATCATGAATACAGATATTTGCATTATGCGAGGAATCGAACCCGTGCCCATTGGAAGTAAAATCGTGTTATTATATACTAGACCATTCAATATTCTTGTTTCCTACAAAAACCCAAATAACTCGGCTACAATTCATAATGTATCGTATAGTATTTAGAGTAGGATTCACAATCCAAATGCGTGTAGTTAAGTTTAATAGTTTTAAAATATAAACGTCTTGGCAATTAGCTGTATGTTTATATTGTGAATAAATATATAATTCAGAGTCGTGTTATAAACCGCTATACCACCGAGGATGGCAAAATCATTCAATATTCTTATTTCCTACAAAGACACAAATAACTCAGCTACAATTCATAATGCGTCGTAAAGTATTTAGAATAGGACTCACAATCCAGAAGACGGTGACGGCTTCCGCTGTGGGCGTGCGCAGGTGGCTGGGGTCGAAGTCTAGCGGCACGAGCACGTGTGTGGCCCCCGCGCCCGCCCCCGCCCCCGCCGCGCACAGCACCCCCCCGGCCGCGCCCACCTCCGCGCTGACCTCCACCACCGCCTCCTCGTCCAGCGCCTGCACCTCTATCGTCATACCTGTACGTCGCCACCATTAGGGGATTGTTATTTCTTTTTTTGTGAAGGCTTTGGACTATTACTCTGCGCTAATGAGACATGTAGCTATCGAAGAGATATGCCAACTGAGTTGCGGGACGTTCTGTAACTACAGAATGTACACAGTCTCGGAAAAAAAGCTATAGCTTCGACCTGCAGAAATCTATTCACCATATTGGGAGTTGTTTTTTTTACCCCGGGTTTATATTCTTAAGAACGATAATTTTTACCTCGTCTTGATTGAATCTTGGATCCTGGGTGATTGCTAATAACAGAGACAAGTAGCCCCGTTGCTATCATGTTGGATGAACCTCTACGCGGTACCCTATAGAAACTATTGTGGTTGATTCTTGGTGATTAGGTCAAGATGAGCCTGACTTCATTCTAACCCTAATCATCCACCACAATCCAAGTAGTAGTACAGGCAGGATTACTTTCCGATTATATCCTTAGATAAATATTTTATTTCCTTATTTATTTATTTATACACAGCTTAACTTGGTGGAAGGCATAACATAAAGTAAAATATGCATACTCTTTCAATTAAAAGGTACTCAAAAACAGGCTACTGAGTCCATGTTAGCAACAAATTCATAAAAAACATGTAATTATAACACTAATATGATTTTTATCAATAAAGCAAACTAAGCAGAGTCCATAGACTCATTTTTTTATGCTTACCAGCAAATATCTGTTCTATTTCCTCAGTGGGATCCTCTGTCACATCTTCTGTGATGTCAGGTTGTTCGACCCGCGTAGTGACTTCCGGCACCGGTTCTGGAGTTTTCAATCGCGGCGGTTCAGGTTCTATATTTTCTATAAATTCAAATATATATACTTTGACATTATTCAAACTTTTAATTCATAAGGTATATTATAATAATAATAATACTTTATTTGCCAAATGTAGGTAAACAATAAGGTGTTAAAAATATGTTGTTGAGATCCGTACATTAACCTCATAGGTACAATTAATGTTTAATGAAATAAAATTACTGTACCGTCATCATACCGATAGTCATTAATCAATTATCTTTACGTCAATGTATCAGTCAGGAAATCACCAACCGTGTAGTAAGTTTTACCAATCAGTATATTTCTAAGAGCAGTTTTAAATTGATGGATACTACCAATAGATTTTAATGCCCTTGGAAGATTATTATATATTCTAGATCCCATTATTAACTATCAAATTGAATTAAAAGTTTTAGAATACATATAGTCATTAAGTAATTTAAACATAATAACTAGTAATCTTTTAATGGCCTAGGAGTATACGTGATACGAGTTTAGTGCTTACCGCCGCCTAATGAGGAATTGCAAGTGCGTTGCCAGCCTTTTAAGAACTAATGACTTCTTTTCTTGAAAGTTTCAATATCGTATCGGTTCGGAAATACCATTGTAGGGCGATGTATTGAAACCATTTCGAACGATTTGGCCCAATCAACGGCCCAGACGAGAGGCTGATTGCGGAATATAGAGTCCAATTTACAGTATAATAATAATAATAATAATCTCAAGACAATTCACACAGCGCCATCTAGACCCAAGTTAAGCTAGCTAAAGCTTGTGTTATGGGTGCTAGACAACTGATACAAATACATAAATATTTTTTTTTTTCGTAAATACATACATATTATACATAGAAAATACCCAGACCGATACAAACAATCATACTCATGACTACAAATGTTTGTGCCGTGCGAGGAATCGAACCCGCGACCATCGGACATAAAGCTGTGTGCTAGACCGCTAGACCACCGAGGTCGTCATTACATTACGATTTGGCAATTTGGCGCCATAAGGTAAATTTCTTTTATCACAGTGTAGGACGTACTATTGCCGGCTTATAATAAGCACGATTACTCACGACTCAAGTAATGGTTGACAAGCTCATCCTCCGGTGGTATGTCCGGTAGGGGCTCCGGCGTACAGGGTGCGGGTCCGGGCAGCAGGCCGGGGCGCCGCAGTAGTTGCAGGTTGCGGCGGCTCATCGGCGACTCGGGCTCCGCTGCTGGCTTACACTTCGACTTCACTGGAGTCGTCGCTTTAAGATCTATTAAGAACTGAAAGAGGTTTTATGTAAAATTTATTGTTAAATAAAACATTTTTTGGACTTCTTTTTAAAAAGTTTAATAAGTAGATGCGAACATATAGGTATAGAATGGTGTTAGAGCGAATTTTAAAATGAATACTCGCAACACACCACTGCTCGGGTGAAGATGACTTAGTTCATTAATAGAGATAAATATGATTAAATTGTAGAGAAAACAAAAAAAATCATGCTAAAAAAAAGAAAACGCTACATAACTAATTTCTTTTAACTAAGTTGCTTTTAACCTATTGCATTTTAAACCTAGTTATATATTAATAATTTTCACTCGCCCCCTATCGTTTGGTGAAGCTATAAAGGCCAGCTGCCAACACCATTAGAATAAATGTCGTTCATGTTCACCTTATCTTTCCCCTTTGGCATATTCAGAATTGTTAAATGAAATTTGGTACACACATAGTTTAGATCCTGAGTGTTTTTACATGGAATACTTTTTAATGCAAAAAATGCAAAAAAGGGGTTGAAAAGTGAGATAAAACTTATGGAAATATTTCTTTCTTTTTAAAACTAGAAGCTTGAAACTTATTTTTAATTATTATATATAAATAAAGAAAAAAGGTTTAAAAACCTTTTTTATACATAGGGAAACGAAAGTTCATGTATCGTTATTTTTCAAGCTAGATGCTTTTTTCTTTGGAACTGGGTTAGATTATTAAATATGTTTTCTTTATTTGGCACGGCCATTGTTTCATACAGACAAGATGATGAAAGTTTTGTACGGAAGTGTCATTTTTCAAGAAGCTTTTTTTCTTTGGTATATTTGGGTTAGATTTTTAAATACTATTTCAGTATTCCACACAGACGAAGTTGCAGGCTTTATTTGGCCAAGGCTACAATTCCACGCAGACGAAACGAACAGCCAGTAAAGGTATATATAGACCGGCGCCTCGTCCGTCAGTCGACAGTAGCGACGCGGCGGGCGGCGCCAGCACGTGCGTGACGTGACACGATACGAGACGAGGTGGTATCACACATAAAGGTATGTACAGACCGGTGTCTCGTCGAGCGGGCGGCCCGCGCGCAGACTGCGCAGCAGCCACAGCGGCGACAGCAGCGGCGCGGCGGGCAGCGCGCGGGCGGCGGCGCGCGCGGCGGCGGGCGGCGCCAGCACGTGCGTGACGTGACACGATACGAGACGAGGTGGTATCACACATAAAGGTATGTACAGACCGGTGTCTCGTCGAGCGGGCGGCCCGCGCGCAGACTGCGCAGCAGCCACAGCGGCGACAGCAGCGGCGCGGCGGGCAGCGCGCGGGCGGCGGCGCGCGCGGCGGCGGGCGGCGCCAGCACGTGCGTGACGTGACACGATACGAGACGAGGTGGTATCACACATAAAGGTATGTACAGACCGGTGTCTCGTCGAGCGGGCGGCCCGCGCGCAGACTGCGCAGCAGCCACAGCGGCGACAGCAGCGGCGCGGCGGGCAGCGCGCGGGCGGCGGCGCGCGCGGCGGCGGGCGGCGCCAGCACGTGCGTGACGTGACACGATACGAGACGAGGTGGTATCACACATAAAGGTATGTACAGACCGGTGTCTCGTCGAGCGGGCGGCCCGCGCGCAGACTGCGCAGCAGCCACAGCGGCGACAGCAGCGGCGCGGCGGGCAGCGCGCGGGCGGCGGCGCGCGCGGCGGCGGGCGGCGCCAGCACGTGCGTGACGTGACACGATACGAGACGAGGTGGTATCACACATAAAGGTATGTACAGACCGGTGTCTCGTCGAGCGGGCGGCCCGCGCGCAGACTGCGCAGCAGCCACAGCGGCGACAGCAGCGGCGCGGCGGGCAGCGCGCGGGCGGCGGCGCGCGCGGCGGCGGGCGGCGCCAGCACGTGCGTGACGTGACACGATACGAGACGAGGTGGTATCACACATAAAGGTATGTACAGACCGGTGTCTCGTCGAGCGGGCGGCCCGCGCGCAGACTGCGCAGCAGCCACAGCGGCGACAGCAGCGGCGCGGCGGGCAGCGCGCGGGCGGCGGCGCGCGCGGCGGCGGGCGGCGCCAGCACGTGCGTGACGTGACACGATACGAGACGAGGTGGTATCACACATAAAGGTATGTACAGACCGGTGTCTCGTCGAGCGGGCGGCCCGCGCGCAGACTGCGCAGCAGCCACAGCGGCGACAGCAGCGGCGCGGCGGGCAGCGCGCGGGCGGCGGCGCGCGCGGCGGCGGGCGGCGCCAGCACGTGCGTGACGTGACACGATACGAGACGAGGTGGTATCACACATAAAGGTATGTACAGACCGGTGTCTCGTCGAGCGGGCGGCCCGCGCGCAGACTGCGCAGCAGCCACAGCGGCGACAGCAGCGGCGCGGCGGGCAGCGCGCGGGCGGCGGCGCGCGCGGCGGCGGGCGGCGCCAGCACGTGCGTGACGTGACACGATACGAGACGAGGTGGTATCACACATAAAGGTATGTACAGACCGGTGTCTCGTCGAGCGGGCGGCCCGCGCGCAGACTGCGCAGCAGCCACAGCGGCGACAGCAGCGGCGCGGCGGGCAGCGCGCGGGCGGCGGCGCGCGCGGCGGCGGGCGGCGCCAGCACGTGCGTGACGTGACACGATACGAGACGAGGTGGTATCACACATAAAGGTATGTACAGACCGGTGTCTCGTCGAGCGGGCGGCCCGCGCGCAGACTGCGCAGCAGCCACAGCGGCGACAGCAGCGGCGCGGCGGGCAGCGCGCGGGCGGCGGCGCGCGCGGCGGCGGGCGGCGCCAGCACGTGCGTGACGCGCGCGCCCGCCGCCGCCAGCCGCACGCCGCCGCCGCGCGACACGCACGCCGCCGCGCGCTCCGCCGCCGCGCCCTCCAGACCGGTCACCCAGAACTGGAAACGACACGTCTACGTTACCCACGGAGCTAGTAGGGGAGGTCCCTAGATCCATGACATGCTTTGAATGATAGATCTCATTTACACAGTCCATGGGAGTGAGTAGGGACCTCGAAATCCCTACCATGTATTAAATCATAAATTTTATCGACACATTCCGAGGATGCAAGTAGGATCCTCCAGGTTCCTGACATATTTTGGATATTAGATATAATCTACACATTCCGAGGGAGCAAATGGGGACCTCCAGGTCCCTGATTTCCCTCCCTTCCCATGTCTATCCCTTTTGAATCATACTCTATGGACGTCATGTTATCATGTCACAAACATTATACCACTCTTGCGTTGCCACGTAAAGGATTAATATCTCATGCCATTTATCCTTTAATTGAAACAACTTACGAAGCAAGTTGTTCTCCATCCTGGTGAAACATTTTATATACAACTTTTTACACTCTACTTCCAATCTAAATATCTGGAAATTTTTCACAAGTTCCACTATATGGTATCCAAAAACATATCTATAAGCCGAAACAATTCTATCCCTGCAATGGTTTGCCTAGATCCATTTCTATGTCCATTTTATCTAAAGTAGGCTTAAATAATCATAGGGTTATAAACAACTATTCACAACATCTATAAATTTACACAGCACTTACACAAAATCCGTCGAAAATTGGCCCAACCTTCTTTAATATACTCATATCAAAATTTTCAAATTCTGTTTGTATTTCTTTATCCAAATCTGACTGATCACTTGCCCTTTTTGATTCTTGGGACATCTGAAAAACAATTTCATATAAATCAGGCATAAAATATTTATTCTTCTAAATAGTTAAAAAGTTAATGTTTAGTTTACCTTCATTTTTCCAGATAGACTGGTAATATCGATAGCTTTCGATTCATCGACAAAGTTGCTCGCCGGCCTCAAGTTTGTGATACGTGAGAAGTTTAAACCTATGAACAATCAATTATAATCTGTAATTTACACTTTGTGTGTACATTTATATTTCTGGAGAAGAAAACATCGATATCAAACCAAAAATTAAATAAGTAGCTCCCTCTTCTGCGATACATGCATCGCATACATGTAAATATACAGAGTTAGAATAGAATAGAAAATTCTTTATTTAAATAAACTTTAGCTAATTCTAGACACTTTTGAATAGTCATATTTTAAACTACCACTCATTCGATAAACTGTCTCATCTGAAGAAGAATGAACAAGAAACTTGATCATCTTGGTTGCATGTTGGATCTATATATGTGTTGTACTTTGGGACTAAGTCGCGGTGTGTTAATTATTACTATCCTGGGTTGTTATTATTATTACTATATTGTAAGTGGTAATCACAGCCTGAAGAATATCCTTCACTACAGACATTATGCGACATTATCATGTTACTCATGCATTGTCATTCTGAAGGACTAAGTCGTTAAGCCTTTTCAACTCGTATTCCACGTAGATTGGACAAGCTATATGGTCGCGTGGCATGGATTGGTGGAGGGTTACCACACCAACCACCATCTGGCAATGTAGTGAGTACTCTCACCATCGCGCCCCCAACATCACAGATTCATGAAGGTGCTCTTTCCACCAGCTGGCCAGTATGCTTGTGTGTTATTTTACTTGCACTATTAATGATAATTATCGTACGGCCAAACTGAAAATCAGCACTGAAAACTATGTTTCCAGCATTATGCTGATTTGTGGTCCATATTGACTCTGTTTTTGAATGTATAAATTATTTCTTGCATTTCTTATGTAATTATTGTGAAATTAAATCAGTTATATACTATGTCCAGATTATTATTGGCAACTGAAATTAAAATTACATTCTACATTAAAAAAGTGTGTACTGACTCATGTCGGGCAGCCGGTGCTCCGCGAGCGGCGACGAGGTGGAGGCGCCGGCCGCGCTGTAGCGGGACACGGGCTGCGCCACGCCGCGGGCCGCGGATTCCTTCACCCACGACGGCACCACACACGCCTTGCCGTATTCCAGGGCCGCTTTATACTTCTCGCTACCTACACCTTCTCTGTAGAAATTAAATTTAAACTACTATTTCTCTTACACAATATATGTATATATCTCCGTTTGTATAAGAAAAATATATGAGAAAAACTTTATCAACATAATGGAATTCAAACCAAGGAATGTTAGAACTCTAATCTGTTATATACTTTTTTTGTATTTATTATATTGTGTTACAGAAATCGCGTCTGGAAAGTGTATGTACGTATGTGAAGATACTGTGAGTATAATTTGCAGAGATGAGTATCGAGCGAATTTCAATAGTAGCTAATTGAACAAAAACAAAAAGATCAGAAAGTATATTGAGTGTACGTGAAAATACTGTATAGTTTGCCGAGATAAGTATTGAGTGAGTTTCAATAAAACCAAAAAATTAAGACGTGTATAAGTCGAGACGAATATATCTCCATAATTTTATTTCCCGTCTACCAGCCTGCTCTTCGTGAGTAAACGTGGTAAGATCCCGATATTTTCTTAACATTAGTCTGTGCTGAAAATGTAGAATCGTGATGCTTGCTAATCTCAAAAACGACTAAACTAATTTGCGTGCAATTTTTACAATTTATCTTCGTCGTCTTTAAAACCTTAAACTGTCTAAACTTCTATTACTCTATTAAATATAACTCTTTAATTACTCACTTTGTCAATACAACTATATCCGTTGTTTCACTTTGAAATGCACCAGAGAATGTTCCACCATGCTCGTTAACCAGCTTCATGATCATCTGTTTGTCTCGTTTAGTGATGCCCGACGTAGTGACTTGGAGGTTTGCGAATGGTGGCAGTCGATGGTGGTTAAAGTCTGGCGAGGAACCGGTAACATTGGCAGAGAGGGATGCTTCCCAGACGCCTTGTACCCAACTCTCTGCCATTATTGGTATGCCTTTTTCCGCTGATTTCTGTGATAAATTATAAAAATAAGAAATAGAAATAACCTTTATTCAAATAAACTTAATATAAGCATTTTTGAATAGTCATCATTTATTCTACCACTCATTGGGAACGCAGACTCTTGACAAGAACAATGAGTAAGTAACTTGCAGGTTATTCTTTTGAATAAATCTTGTTATAAGTACATATAAATACACATTAACATATAGAGAACATGCGATAATCAACATAGAAACCCATAGAAACCGCTATACTATTCTTTGTCAGATCAATCAGATAATATTGTCAGCACTATGATTTTTAAGTCTTTTCTACAAAAACATTATTATCATTTACAAATTCTAGAATTTTATGATAAACTTTTTTACAAAGGAAATTTTTTTATAGGACATTGTCTTCAGGCAGATTTAGGACAGAGTGGCAGTTTGTTCTCCCCTTTAGCTGTGTACGGAACACCGTACTATAATAATCATATACTTATAAATTATATTGTTACTTACGTAGCATATATCATTTCACTATACATATACAATAAATCAGTGTATAACATGAAGCGCTCACTACGGGACTTATCTTTTATGTATCATCCCCATAGATTATCAATTATCATTATCAACAAGTGTAGGAACAACCCCTAAAAGCTGATTTAAAATAATTATCAATAGCATAAACAATTGAAACACAAAAATGTGATGTCAATCCTGTGTAAATTGAATCTAGGAAGCCGAGACCAGGGATTGTAATTAAGGATTTGCATACTTTGGTTTGCCCCTAACATTTTTGCTATGTAGTTTCCTTTTTTTGTGAAATATTATTGCTATACAATAACTAACTATGGTAATCATTTACCGTCACATGGGCCATATGCTTGTTCGCCACTATAGTAGTATAAAAAAAACTATTCCCAAACTGAGTGCCAGCACTATACCTTTGATACACTATGTTTTATTAATTCTATGCAATAATTAATAACTAATTATTCAATGTACTTAGGGAAAAAATATCTAAATTGACTAAACACATTACAGAGTGGTATCCGAGAGGATTCATAAGAAGCAGAGACAGTGAAAGTAAAAGATGGGAAGATGATATTAGGAAGGCAGCAGGAAAAAGCTGGACTCAAAGACCAAAGGAGGCCTAAAGACATAGGCCTCCTTTGGTCTTTGACAAACTCCTTGACAAACTGTTAACATGCACATGGAAAAAAACAATGAATTAAATATAAACTAACAGGAACAGAGTTATTGCAAAATATGTATATAATTAGAAAAAATTGTAAACATTATAGTTAACAGTAAAGACTATTATTATTACTCAATGTACTTACAATATATTTGTCTGACAATACTGTGTCTGCAACAAGATGCGTTGTGTCATCAGTTAGTACTGCACTGTAAATTCCTCCCATCCAGTGAACCTTCCTTTTTATAGTTTCCTAAAATATAATATATACTGTTTTCACAAATAACGAGACAATTTTAAGAGACTCAGACTAGTTTTGTCTTTAATTAAAAAAAATGTTAATATTAACAAACATATACCAGTCATAGTTAGATAATGAATAAATCAATGAAATATTGAAAAAGGATCCATTAAAAAGACATTCTGGGGCTGTTACTACTACTAATGCTAACACTGTTAATATATACAGAGAGGCAGCTCCTGTTACCTTTTGTTTTTTAGACAGCCCACTAGCTGTTACAACCAAACCTCTCATAGCAACAGTGAACACTGGCTCGGGTCCTGAGGGTATTGGCACACCTTCTGTCAAGCAGCATGACAAACATCGTGGACCCACTAGCCTGCCAAAAGCATAAAAAAATGTAATAAACTTTTCTCTGCTACTCCATAGTAGGTTATACTATGGAGTAGCAGAGAAAAGTGATGAAGATGAACAATTAAATTAAATCTGATTAAATCCATCATACATCACATATACACAAATCTTGATTCATTGGCTTTCACAAGTCATTGCATGACTGCATTCATAAATTTTTAGCTACTTTTTTTTTTATTGGGGGTTTTGGGCTATTGTCAGGTGCTATGACACAGCGACCTGCATAGATCTATTGTGCTAACTCTTTTTTTCAAAGTTCGCTACCTAAACCTGTGGGGGACAAGAATTGAAGGATATTCTTAGGGGCGATCGGTTTTATCCCCTCAGGATAGAGGGTAAACTTTCCAAAGGAGATGTTATGTTTATGCACAAGCTGGCTACAACCAGATAGGATGTGTAGCGGCGTTTCCTCTTCAGCTAGGCAAAAAAAATTCTTCACCATTATTACACATAACCTTAATTCCACCATCAGATAGATATTACCACACATTGCTATTCCCAATGTTGCATGCCAGATAAAACTGACAAAACATATGTGGATATTGCACTGAAACTATGTTTTAAGTAAATAAATAAATGTTATTACAATCATTCTGATTACATTTACCAAGGTAAACTTTGTAGAAATATATATCTATCTGTCCATAAGTGCTTCTGTCTTATCTACATTCGTAGTCAAGGAAATTAGTTTGTAAAATTGAATAATAAAATACCAAATGATATACAGGAACTTCCACATGGACAATTGACATATATTAAAGAATTGGTTGCTCTACAAATGTTTCTACTCTGTAAAGTTTTTAAATGCACAATAAATATGATGATATGATGATCTTTAAGCTATTTCAAGTGAAGAATGATATATGCCAATAAATACACAGTGTATGGAGACATGACACCATAGTTCTCCAAAATGGCAATGTATGAGAAGAACTGTCCTCATTACATGATGTTTTTGTATGAAGTTCACACCATCAAATGTCCCATCAGCCTGTTTGCCATACCATTTTCAAATAAAGAAACATAAACACCATAAATAAATCAATACTTACAAACATTTTGTTGTCCTCAGCCTTTCATACAAGTCTCCATCAAATTCAGATAATACAAACACATCCTTTTTTGTTAAACCATCAAATTTATTCCACTTAGTTTCATGTACCCATTGTGCTTGTAGCCCACCCCCACAGTGATGCTGACAAACCTGTAATTCAATTTAATTTATGTTATAAATGCACATAAGTAAACAATTTTAGAATTTTGTTTAAGTGTGGATAATAAAAACTAAATAAATTTATTATGTTTATCATAAAAGAATGAAACCGGTTAAGGTAAGATAACCAATAGTTTTTATAGTTATTCATTAATTATCAAATATATAAAGAATCATATAGTAATCATACCAATTTCATACTTACAGCAAAAATCTTTTTTAAGGTTCACAGATTTGACAAATATTATAAACAATAGGGCAATGTTACAAGGATTAACTGATTTATTAACAAATATGACAACGTAGAATGTATCCTAGCTTCAAGTTGCAATTTAATCAGATATACTTACGGTGTAAGCAAGTTTTAACTCGGAATCAGTACAATCATCTTCACTTTGACAAGTTTTTGGTATGATAAAAGTCACTTTTATATCCTCCGCCATATCGGTTTTATATAGTATTATCTACTTCTTTAATTACAATAACAATTAAATGAGAACAACCATTAAAATGATAACTTTCAGGTTGGAATTAAAAACATAATAAAAGACTGTTTACAAATTGCCTCCATTTTCTAAGTTCTTTTTAAATATTATACTGATCTGGAAGCAAAGTCCACCAAAGATCAAAAAGAAAAAAAGTTCGAAGTTCCTTAACTATCATTAAAAGTATATTATTGTCAGTCAGGTGTCAGTTCAGCTTTCATTATATAGTATTGATTTATTACAATGTTGAAAATTGTAATTGAGTTATATAGGTTATAAAATGTGTAATTTATAATTTTTTTTTAAATCTTACACACATTTAAATATTATTGATATATAATAACAAATAACAATGTTGTATGATGATTTCAAACCTATCGTTGATCTTGTGTTAAACAATTGGACTGCTTTGCAACTTGCTGTGGAACATGGAATGGGAGCTCCGGGTGGCGAAAAGGTCTGTTTTGTTTCCGTTTTATAGTATAATTTAAAAATCCTTAAACTCGTGATTTCATTTGCAGTAATTTAATACTGGACCTTATAGTCATTATTTTGCTTTAAACCTCTTTATACACGTTAGATAGTACTCAGGACTACTCTTAATTACGAAATGTCATATCATGTACTTCCACGACTATTATTCCATATGAAGTTTATTTTTATTAATATTTTACAGCTTTCCATATGAAGTAGTCAGCAGTATTACCAACTCTTCAAGTCACACATATATTTGAATTATATCTTGAACCTAATACTTTATCTTGGATTATTTTTGATTAGTCTTTTTCAGTATTTTATTCCCACAAACTTTTTAAACAGAACTGCATAAGTCATACCATACATATACTGTCATCAGAGATTTTAGACTACTAAAAATTGGAGGGATGATTTTAGAGATTAAAACCAAAAAATTGGAGAGATATCAAATTTTTCGTTTTAATCTCTAAAATACCTCAGCTACAATTACAAATATCTTTATAGTGGATATGTATTGGTCATTTAATGTTGTTACAAAAAATATATTGCAAAGTATCTCATCCTACCTACCATGAGCATACAGTAGGATCAATATATTATAATTACATAATGTAATTAAATAAAATGAACCCCCAGTAATACTGTCCCTGTCTTATCTGGCATCCCTTGTAATCACAACAGTGATTGTAAAGTCAGCTTAATATTAATTTTAATGCTATTTCAATATTTTGCATGATATTTTATTCTATGATGACAAAAATACAGTAAAGTAAAATGAGACTCACTAGTGGTACCATTCTTCTCACATCAACAGATTCCCACAACAAATCTGCTAATGGCTTGGTGAGCCGATTGCATGATATCGATATGAATTAAAAAATATATATATATTGTTTTAATTATTCATCATTTTACTGTTTTCATTGCAGACAGCTCAGTTGATGGCAGTGTATGTTGCTCGCTACTGTGTTGAGAATATTGTTGATAGGCATGAACTCACAGAACTTATTGAGGATCTGATGGATGAGGAGTTTGATACCGTATGCCATGATAATTCACCTAGAGGTATGTAAACATTTTTTGTTATGACACAGTATAATGTGATATTAATTATGTTAATTTTATAATAAATATATCTTTGTATTAATATAAAGATATATTTTTCATCTTCATTCTGCAATTTTCATAACAATTTTTTTACATACTTCATTGTTATATTGCTTAGGTAGATGTAAGTTAATTGCTGTCTGGCTTGACTGAATTTATTTGCTACAAAATCCTACTTTTATTCATAACTAGTTACCCACCCTGATTTAGCATAGATGTACATGTATTATACATATAATACTCTCTCCTGAATTACTCTATCTGTTTCTAAAAACTTCATTAGAATCCGTTGCATTGTTTAAAACATCTGAGCAGACAGGCAACTGAAGCATCTTCATTTTATACTGTGTAAAGATTAAATTTAAATATGTTTCATTTTCACACCGAAAGATCCTTTCTGATGTGAACCCATTGGCGCGTAACACTGTTCTAGTCACACAATACCGCCATTCTGCTCGCACTCGGTTTCTATTAGTCGACAGGCCAAATTGCACAGTCTAGCTTGGAACTTCGCGAATCGCGTAAATATGAACCGCATGTCGATTTTCGCAGCTGCGTCATGGTTTATGTCCGGAATTATGCAACTAAGTATACATTACTTAACATTACAAAATTAACAATTAAAAAATTGTATAAAAATATGACTGTTATTTAATTTCAGAAATTGCATCCCTATTGCTATTATACCTTGGCATGTTGAAGGAAGGTCGGTATGATGAACTGCGAATGAGAATTGAAGCGATGCCCAAGTGTCAGAAATGGCTGAGTCAACCAATACATGAATCAGTACCTCCACAGGTTAGATTTTGATGATAACTTTTTTTTCTATATCCATCTTGCAATCAGTCGACCACTATGAACAGATTGATCGGTAGAGTGTGATTCCCAACTGAATCATCGTCTCTTCAGATGGTCCTTATTAGTCATCAGTTTCCAGTAACCTACGCCTTTTAATGCGACGTATGTTCATAGACTATCATATATTTATGATAACTCTTTCAGTGTCATGGAAACCCAGATGATGATACTACAAGTAGTAGCGGTGAAGAAGATGAACCCGAACCAGAAACAACAAGCAATCAGATCTTCCTTCAAGCCTCGACTTCCACCATTGATCAACCGCCAGAACCAATGGATGAAGATTCAGATGTCGACCCTGGCTGGACGGTTGTAAAGCCTAGAAAGAAAAAATAAAGTTATATGTAAATTTTAAATTATCCTATATTTATTTATTTTGTGTTATAATATAAGCACTTACTGTAGTTGCGTATTGCCGGATGACTTTGTTTTCCGAGCTAAAAATTCATATTAATTTTCAGATATATAAAAAGTATATGAAATATATTTAGCTTTTGCGCTTCATTTATTTGGAGTAATGCTATTTTTTTTATATTAAAAATTTCATAGAATTATCCTTCATTAAATGTGTTATATTTAGAGTATAAAAAATTTTGGCCTTAAAAAAATGTTTGAAAAATTGTAATTTAACTATGTATGTTCTCCTTTATATAGGATAAAATGGCCCTAATTTTCTCGGAATGGCAATAAAAGTCATCTGGTATATAAAAATCAGTTGTGTCATGTTTGTTTGTTTTGCTCAAACTTAAGAACCGCGTGATTGATTTTAATGAAATTTATTTTGTTAATTTTAATACAGGTGTTCAAAAAACATATTAAACAGTGTTTACAACACTATGATTGTTATAAAATAAAAAAATATAATGTTGTAGGGCAATCATTACTTCAAAAGTAATTTTAATAGATGGCCAATGTGATATACTAAAATATCTTTTTTATTATATATTGAATATGGTACAAAATGTCCATATCACCTATGCTGAAATTACAAAGACAAAACATTTTTTTTTATAATTACTTTTATAAAAATCCTCTGAAATAATTCATATATTTAAGGAATACTTTTACCGTCTGACATAGTTGTTCTAGATTCACACTGGCTATATATTATGTTAATATATACAAAAGTCAAACTTATGACGCATGGGCGGACCTTGTCTAGTCGTGTATACTGATAATATTAAATAGGATTGACTATATATACGTAGTAATATGATGCGGTAAAAGGTTGGTCAGGTCATGAATAGAAAGTAATAGGAATAAAAATTATTCTAAAGGCAGTAAAATTTGATCATTATTGCATTAATGCAGAATCTATATACCTATTTTAAATAATACTACAGTATTATGCAATTTTAAAATAGTGTAATTAAAATAAACAGTTTACTAAATTATTTATTAGGTACCTTTGTATGTTAGTTAGAAATGAGACATATATCATGTACTAATCCTTGTCTACCATACTATATAATGTTGTGTATTTTTTTCAAATAATTGCATTGAAATCAATGTAATTTAATTTAAGAATTTATTTTTAATGTTAACTAAATATTACATATTTGTAACATTTAAGTTTCTTTTACTGGCAATTTGCTTCTACCTTAATTTTATTTATAATGCAAAAGAAACAATTCCTATTGTATACAATTTATAAAAAAATTGTTAAAAATACAGCTGTGTGTATAATTCGAACTACCACACAGTATGTAGGCAGTAAAAAAAGGATATATGCAAGTAACTTCCGATTCCGAACATGATTTCTAAGCCCTTATTATTGCATACCACGACATGGGCTGCATTCCAAAGTATTCTCACCTTATCGAGCAAACAGCATTTTTTTTTATACTACTACGGTCTACGGTGACAAAAAAGTATACGGCCCATCTGATGGTAATCGGTACCTATGGACTCCTGAGACACCAAGGGCGTCAAGTGCGTATACACTTCTTGATAAACTCCAACCTATAGTCTCGCAAGAAAACCTCGACATATAGTCAATTCCTCAATCTAAGTATACGTCATCATCTTCAAAAACGGTTATTTTAAAATGTTGTATGTAAAGTAAAATAGAAGTATAAGCAGGTACTTATTTTTAGTTATATTAAACTATAGGCACATAAAGTACTAGTGTACATTATGTATGACAAAAATGTTACAATTTTACGTAAATGAATAGTAGAGAAAAACATATTCCACCGACCCAAATAATATGGAATAACGAAAAGGAGATGATGTACTCTTATGTGACTATGTATATGAAGTATATATTGAGTACCTTAGTACGCGTGTCAATTTCGAATTTTATTTGTTTTAATTACGTTTAAAACAACTAAATTCGTCTAAAATAAATATACTGTTAATATCTACATATATATATTATATTGTGATAATACAATAATATAATGTAATAGCTACTTTACTCAATAATGGTAATCTGTACCCATTGGCAACTCCTGTGTTTGATTATGACAGTTCTCGAGTTGTCAATATCACTCAGTGTCATTTCATATTTATAATTTCCACTATTCACACCTTGTGGAAAATCGCCAATTTTCGGTGTTTTCTTTCTTTGAATGTTATTATTGTAATATTCATGTTTTAAAGAAAAAGTACAAAACGTATACCAATGACTTTAACAGCCCGACAACGCAGTATTCATAATAAAAATGGTACAAAAAGAATTGCAAGTTTCAATAAAGGGAAACGAAAAGCTAGCGAAGGGTATTAATATTTTTTACTTTGTTTTTATTGCCTATAAAGTATAAATATAATCAACACGTTTTGATATTTGTATGTATATATTCTAGTAGCTTAATATTTTATTTAATATTCTGGATTTATAACTTGCTTTTTGTTTGCTGTTTTGCGCTAAATTACTACAGTTTGGCGCCTTTCCAGGTGTCGACACACTTCGGGCGAGGTAAAGAGCTTTTGCATGACGCTATTTGTTTACCAATCCCTTCGTTTACATTTATCCAAGTACTATTTTAGCATGATTATTATTTTGTTTTATAATGTTTTTTATTGGTACATTTTTTTATTGTTTTTAATTAGGAATACTAACATATTTACAAAATATGTCACAGCATGTATTACAGTGTAATTACTGACAATATTGGTACCATATTTATATATACATTTTGTATAATTAACTATTATATACCTACTGTAAACATGATTATTATGCTAAGACTGTGCTGTGCTGATTATTGACTAATCTGTTTCAGATAAAATATAAAATGTGTATAAAATATTTGTTATTAAGTTTATGAAAAATTACATTTAAAAAATTCAATTATCTTTTATGATAGCCAAATGGACAGACATTTTATAATGTTTTCTAAGGATATTATGGAATACTAATAAAACTGTAAAGAATTTTTTAATGTGTTACTTTTTTAGATACATTTATTTAAAAAAGTAACACATTAAAAAAGTTCACCATTTGATTTTTTTTGGATATGCATTGTTTCTACTAGTAAATTTATAGTTTTCTGAGGATGAAAAGCGGAGGGGCACAGAATATTAAAAATAAATTACATGATCCAGGCAATATAGTTCTCCGTAATAGCAATGCATGAGTGAATGCCACAGGATATGGTAATGTCTGTGGTACTAAATGTGTATATTAGTGACAGTTACCACTTACCATCACTCTGTCTACTTGTGTGCTTTTGCAATTATATTAAAAAAAACATCAGTGTCTCAATGGCTGTTTATGATTATACTGCTTAAGGGATCTTAATTAAATTGGATAGCGTTAAATAGTGAAGAAAGGTCATATCAACATTATGGGATTAGGGGCACATCTAACTAAGGGCTTTTTGGGCAGCCTAGGGTCCTGTGTATATAAAGAGCCCCCACTGAAAACAATAGGTGATATTTAGAATAAAAAAATCTAAAAGATTAATAAATCTATCATTAGGTTTGCAACCCTGAAATCAATCAACCCAAGGATGTGCCTGTCTATCCAAAGGAATAGGAAATACCCCATCACTTGTTTTTAGTTTCTATATTTTTTTAGTTGGGTAATATAATTAGGTAGGTAATTTTGGCGCCACAAATGCACGATCAGGCCCTGTATGGGATGTCTTGTCTGAAAAAAAAAAGGAAACATTTGGTTGTATGTGTTATGTCAGATTTTGTACATTTTCAGTGAATTCCTTGTGACAAATGCACCTACAGACTTACGTAGTATAACATACCCCGGCGGTGCAGTGGCACTCGTTCTGCTACTCACCGCTCGTCTCCTGGCTGCATACTGGGGACATATATCTGATTGTGATGAGACATACAATTATTGGGAGCCATTGCATTATTTAGGTAAGATTTTTATCTTTAAAATTGCTTTTAGCAATAAGGCTCCCTTATTATACATGTGTAACTAGATGTATTATTTGTCATCTAATTAATACATGTTTGTGCTGTGAGAGGAATCAAACTTGCGACCATCGAAATTGCTAAACCTTAAATGTTCTGATAATTTAATTGTTATTTCTCATAAATTCGAATTTTGAATAAATATGTTAGTATGTAATGTATGTATGTGGGTATTACACATAAATTTTAATATGTCTTTAATGTCCATACTCTAGTATTTTTAGCATGAAAAAAATATATAAAATGAATGTATATATATTATAAAATGGTATATATAATAAAATGGATTCACAGCTAAATGCATTATAATGAAAATTTGCCTTGAAGAAGATAGATTTGCCAAAAAGCTGCTATTGAGGGTTCCAGTTGAAACTACCATACAATAGGGATGATAAGATTTTTATTTAAAAAAATAGTATAGGGACATCATTAAAACCAAAAACATCTTAATAGCGCCATTTACCTCTGGCGCCATCTAGTTTGCACGGAGAGAACTAATATAACATTTGTAAAATATCTTAAACAAAGCTCAAAAATAGCCTATGTCTGCCATTTATCTCAGAAATCAGATGAATGGGCAATAGCTAGTAAATATATAACTTATAGGAACTTTTATTCCATACAGTATATGGCAATGGACTCCAAACGTGGGAGTACAGTCCTGTGTACGCCATACGGTCATACATGCCGCTGTGGCTGTTTGCTGTACCAGCTAAGATGCTGTCGCTGGTGGCGTCACCAGTCACAGTGTTCTATACTATACGAGCCCTGCTAGCTGTGCTTGCGGCGTGTGCGGATCTTATGTTTTACAAGTAAGTATAATAGAGGTTATTTTTAAATAAATTGAAATTATATTGGAACTGTGCTTCCAATTGTGCACTAATATATACGCGTGGCACCAATGGACGATGATAAGATGAGCACATAAGAATTTACCACGATGATTTCCAATGGAGCTCACGTACAAGGCGACAAGGCTTATGGCACATTGCTAGAAATGGGGTCATTTTCTTATGTAATTGAAATGATAAACAAGCTGAAGTCTTACATGATGGTAAGTGGCAGACGTCGCTTACCGTTTACGGCAGCTGTATTAGGTTACTCAGAGCTGCTCACGCATACGAATTTTTACAGTCTATTTCTGGTAATAATTAATCGCCATTATTAACGATGCCTTTCTACATTGATTTGCGGAAATTTTGAAATAGAAATAAGGTACTGTATACGGCTTAGGTGCCGGGCAGCACTTCATCTTGTGTGGCGTGATGCCACACAAGTAAATGACAGTTTGTCCTAACGAATAGTGTGTTCTGAAAAAATGTTCGACTTGATGCCCACGGCTACCCTTTACCATCGTACTGCTCGCCATCGTCAGGGAATTCATCCCCATACGCTAGAACCTACGTGGTCTCGGATAGCGCGGTTTCAGAAGAGCTTCCTCCCATGTTCACTTAGATTGTGGAATGAACTACCTGCCGAGGTTTTCTCTAGAGACTACAGCATGGAGTTTTTCAACGGTATATTAAAGTTTCTTAAGGGTCGGTTAAGGTGTTTCAGACGTCCATGAGCTACGGTGACCGTTTACAATCAGATGGGCTGTAAACCTGTTTGCCACCTATGTAGTATAGAAATGAAATGTGTTGTACAGGGCGGTGTGCCACGAGTTCGGCGTGCAGGTGGGGCGCGTGTGGCTGGCGGCGTGGGCGCCGGCGGCGGGCGCGTGGGCGGCGGGCGGCGCGCTGCTGCCGGCGGCGTGGTCGGCCGCGCTGGCCGCCGCCGCGCTCGCCTGCTGGTGGCGCCGCCGCCTGCCGCCCGCCGTGCTCCTCACCGCCGCCACCACGCTGCTCAGTGAGTCACCCGCAGGTTGTATATGACGGGCGGCGTGGTCGGCCGCGCTGGCCGCCGCCGCGCTCGCCTGCTGGTGGCGCCGCCGCCTGCCGCCCGCCGTGCTCCTCACCGCCGCCACCACGCTGCTCAGTGAGTCACCCGCAGGTTGTATATGACGGGCGGCGTGGTCGGCCGCGCTGGCCGCCGCCGCGCTCGCCTGCTGGTGGCGCCGCCGCCTGCCGCCCGCCGTGCTCCTCACCGCCGCCACCACGCTGCTCAGTGAGTCACCCGCAGGTTGTATATGACGGGCGGCGTGGTCGGCCGCGCTGGCCGCCGCCGCGCTCGCCTGCTGGTGGCGCCGCCGCCTGCCGCCCGCCGTGCTCCTCACCGCCGCCACCACGCTGCTCAGTGAGTCACCCGCAGGTTGTATATGACGGGCGGCGTGGTCGGCCGCGCTGGCCGCCGCCGCGCTCGCCTGCTGGTGGCGCCGCCGCCTGCCGCCCGCCGTGCTCCTCACCGCCGCCACCACGCTGCTCAGTGAGTCACCCGCAGGTTGTATATGACGGGCGGCGTGGTCGGCCGCGCTGGCCGCCGCCGCGCTCGCCTGCTGGTGGCGCCGCCGCCTGCCGCCCGCCGTGCTCCTCACCGCCGCCACCACGCTGCTCAGTGAGTCACCCGCAGGTTGTATATGACGGGCGGCGTGGTCGGCCGCGCTGGCCGCCGCCGCGCTCGCCTGCTGGTGGCGCCGCCGCCTGCCGCCCGCCGTGCTCCTCACCGCCGCCACCACGCTGCTCAGTGAGTCACCCGCAGGTTGTATATGACGGGCGGCGTGGTCGGCCGCGCTGGCCGCCGCCGCGCTCGCCTGCTGGTGGCGCCGCCGCCTGCCGCCCGCCGTGCTCCTCACCGCCGCCACCACGCTGCTCAGTGAGTCACCCGCAGGTTGTATATGACGGGCGGCTGGCGGCGGGCTTACCCGTCCAATACAGATGGAAATCGAAATTACGACGGCCTCGAACCGCTAGTGGTGCCCTCACCCTAAAGTTGTATCGGTCAGGCTGGTGTGGAAGCATAAATGGAAGAGAAAAATATATTATACATTGTAACGACCTTAATTGTTCTTTTTTTTTTATTCATGGTTTTGGGCTATTGGTAGGTGCTACGCCTGTAGCACTGCGACCTGCATAAATCAATTGTACTCGCCCTTTTTCTTACTTCGCTACCTAGACTCGTAGGGACAAAAATTTTAGGATATTCTATGGTTTTTGTCTTCTCAGGATAGAGTGTATATTTTTCAAAGGAAATGTTTCGTATGCATGAGTGGGCTACAACCACACAGGATGTGTAGTGGCGTTTCCTCTTCAGCTTGATAAATGACCAACCCCAAATAAATATATTAATAATTTGTATCACAGGTTGGCCATTCACCGCCCTCTTAGGCGTACCTATCGCAATAGACATGCTGATCATCAAGCGGCAGTTCGTGGAGTTCTTCAAATGGTCGATACTGTCGCTGCTCATCATACTGCTGCCGACTGTGGCTGTGGACTCATACCACTATGGAAGACTGGTGGTGGCCCCGTGGAATATCGTCGCGTACAATATCTTCACTGAGCATGGACCGGATTTGTACGGGGTGGAGCCGTGGACCTATTACTTTGTTAACGGATTCTTGAATTTCAATATTATCTGGGTGAGTAGTACTTTTTTCAAATTCAAAATTGGAATTTTGTTTCTTATTTTTTCTCGTTACTTTTTTAAAGATCTTTTTCATATGGATAGATTTTTTAATTTCAATATAATCTGCCTGAGTAATATACTATTGTTTTCTTCAAATTCAAAATTGGAATTTGGTCCCTTTTTATTCCTTGTTACGTTTTTTTTTTAACTTTTTCATATGGCAGGAATTTAAAATGGCTAGTGCAACGTAATCCGAAATCCGTATGAAGTATTACAAGAATATTGGGATTGAAGTAATGGCTATTAAAACTTAATAGAAGGAGTATCCTTCTATTAAGTTTTGATAACGCTCCTTCGGAATACAAATTACTCTAGGAGGAATAAACAAGAAATTTGCTTGTTGCTCTTTTAAAACAGCTGTCGTTCAACACTACATTTTTTGATTCTGTGTAAAGAGAATATCTAGTTTACAATGGTACATTAGAAATTAGAAATGTTCAAATATATATTTTTTTTGTCCCAGTGTTTGTAACAAAAGTCCTCCGAAACTATTTAATCAACTTTTATTAGATTTTGTGTATCAATCAGCAGGTCTAAGAATAAGACGTAAACTATTTTTTATACCCCCAAGTAACAAAATCCAAAATTTTCAATAGCGATGTTAATCTGTATGGCAAAACAATATTTGCGGAGTCAACTAGTATTAAATAAATAGTTGTTGGCTGCGTTGCCAAAAATCTTACATACCTTCTTCGGTTCTTCCGATTTTAATCAGAACTACTATCCAGTGCAGTCCAGTCCGAATACCGAGACCTGGACTGAATTGAAATTAAAGTTTATCATTTCAGGTGCTAGCTCTGTCCTGCCCTCTGCTACTGCTGGCGTGTACAGTAATTATGCCCCGGTCGACCGCGCGTGCATCTTTCTGTGCACCTTATTGGCTTGACTTAATGCCTATAGTGCTTTGGCTGGGTGTGTTCATGATACAACCACATAAGGAAGAGAGGTAATAAATATATATTTCCCTAATTTAATTTAAATATGAATCGGAATTTTTGAAAAGAGTTATTCTTTTCAAATGAACCTGTATATGTTTACATAAATGCCGATTCATTTTAAAGCTGAGTTTCTTGTCAGTTCTTCTTAGATTGAATGCAATCTAACCTATTAATTTATTTCCAGATTCCTATACCCTGTATATAGCATGATAGTGCTGGCCGGAGCGATATCACTGGACTGTATACAGAAGATGACGTTTGCCGTCGGCACCGAGTTGTTCAGATGGCGGAAGGAGCGAGAGAGACGGCACTACCTCGCGTACACCGGGCCTCTGATGGTCATGTGTGTGTTATTAGCGGCCGCTGGTGGTAAGAATTACATAGAATTTTTTTTTAACAGCCAATGATATAAATAAACATTTTTTTTTATCTGTAATGCCAAATATAATGATTTAAATAAAGAAAATATAATATAATTTGATAACCTCGGTGGTCTAGTGGTTTGGCACACTGCTTTACATCCGATGGCCGGTTCGATTCTTCGCACGGTACGAACACAGATTGTGAGTAATGTGGATCAACCTCATTGCTAACCATGTCATATCATTTTGACCTACATGGTATGGTTTTAGGGGGAACTGCCCCTGAAACGATAATGATAGATTCCTGGCTAATTTGGCACTTTGGGCTAACTGACCTCAATAAAATTCTATTCTATTCTTATATAGTTCTCCATCTACATCCTTCCTTGTGGGGACTAGACTGTTCGGGTTACGAACACAGATTAGGTTATTTGCTTTTCACAAAGTCGCAATAGCATATACTGCTGATCACCTTATACTCCCAAATTTGAATTTAAAAATGAATCTGTATTATTGTAAACATGTACAACCTTATTTGAAAATAATATTCGTTGTATTTCTTATCAGTTCTTCTCATCTCGAAACCACTCAGAACTGACGGTAGATTTGACATATCATAGGAGTGGAATAGACCTACATGAATAAAGATATTTTGATTTTCGTTTCATTGAATGATTGAAATATTTTTTTTTTATTTTACAGGTATCTCTCGGATAACAGCGCTGTACACCAACTATCACGGACCGATGCGTCTGCTGCGGTCATTGCCACCAGCGTCCACCACTGACTCATACCTCTGCTTCGGCAAGGAGTGGTACCGCTCGCCATCCAGCTTTCATGCGCCTGGATACAACATTAGATTCATACCGAGCGAGTTTCAGGGACAGATGCCAGCTCCTTATGCTCAGTCCGCAAATGGTGAGTTTTCTTATGACTGTAGTACCGAATAATGTCGGTTGGCCCCGGTCTATTAATGGGTGATTTGTGATATCTAGGACTACTAAGGGGATAAGTTCTCGGCCCACTTGATGGAAAGTGGTAAAGTAAAGTGGTTGTCCATAGACAAGGACAATACACACATTTGTACATTATGTATGATAAATCTTTGTTCAGGAATCAATTTTTTGTTTACTCGTTCACTGACAACTGGCATGAGTAATTTATTCTTTTATTCGCAATAATTGAGTGAATCGGTCATTCAAAATTTAAAAAATCCTTTTTTTTTATTTATGTTAAGTTTAAAGTATATCAACACTGATATATCTTTTTATATATTTATTAATTTATAGTGTTATTATTTCGACAGTTTTTTTAGAATTAGCACTTTCACATTCACATGACGTATTGACAATATTATCGTAACTAAGAAATAAGTAAACTTAACTATGCAATTATATACATGCCTTATGTAAAATTTCCCTCCAAAAAGTCGACCTAAAAATTGATCAGTCCATTAACTTTAAGATTCAATAGTTTTCCCTCATATATTATATAGTTAATATTATTTTAAAATATATTTAAAATATTTTTATTTTGAATTTATAAAGAAAAATCTCTTACAGCGACGCGACTTATTCATCCTCACTTCAACGACCTCAACAAGGGTGACAACCGGACCTACATACAACCATCGCAATGCCACTACCTAGTCGACTCTGATATCGGTAGCCCCAGTCAACTCGAACCTGCGTACCACAAGAAATCCACGTGGGATATAGTAACCTCTGTACCTATACTAGACGCGCAGAAATCGCATAAAATATTCAGAGCATTCTATATACCGGTGTTATCCAATAAAAATAACGTATACGCCAATTTATATTTATTGAAAAATAAACTATTGGCAGGTTGATTAGGGTCGAAATTAGAATATCAATTCGTTAGTTGAAATACATTATTTTTTGTATGGGATAAATAGGATTAGCTTGAAAGTACCAGTGATTATATTCACAAAATTCAAATTCAATCAAGTACTGAATATATATCGACGGAAGAAAGCGAAAAAACTTGAAAACCTATGTATTTATTTCTAAGAACTTATTTCTAAGAAATTCATAAATCCATCTTTACACCAGAGTCAAAAATAGTTTTATAAAATTCATAACTTATATAGTTATGGAGATAAATAAATTGGTTAAATACATAACAAATTTCAACTTTCTCTTTTGATAAATATATGAGCTATAATAATATATTTTTTTGAAATAACAGAATCTAAAATAATTTTTGTACAATTGGGTTTTTTAAGGTACATCAACTCAGCTTTCTTCCGTATGTATGTATTTAAATTATGAACTATTCACACAACCACGAGGTCACGTGATCGAATTATTGTGACAGCTCAAAAATATATTTCGATAGATATGATCACGCGATTGAAATTCGATTCCGAAGTGACGACGATTTTTAGATTCCAAATTAAGCTGTAATCTGAGAGGACTGCTCGATTAATTTGTGGAGTCTGTCTGTACACCTTTAAAGGATAGGGTAATAAAATATAGTCTCTGGTACACTCGTTACAACTAAACTTGTAGATAGAGTAAGTATCGACAGAATCGAATCGAGATTAAATCGAATTTGCATTGAATCGATTTTTAATTTTAATTATGCATTTGGTTTACATTATTTACTGGTCCCATTCATAGAAACGATATTTGGGGATGGGGGTAGATAGTGCGATATTGTATAATAAGGGATTGGTGAAATTAGGACTCCACCAGGGAGGAATCTGGGGATTCATTCCAATATATTATGATCCCCAAAATATAATGAGACGTAGAGCCTCAGTACAGTAGAAGGGATCTTAAATATAGTGACATCTCGTTCATCATAGTCAAGGCTGGGGGTAAAATTAAAGAAATAAGTGTGAATTAATTTATGGGTGATTTTCGATTTGCTTTCGATTCGATCGCGAATAGGAGTCTGCGTGTGTGAAGATAAATAGGTAGTACAGTGAAAAGTGGTTGATTCATGAAGGGAATCAATAAACTAGTCATTGAGTTAATAATTTAATATAGCTATTTAGTAATTTGATCGCACACTTTAATATAAATACTGCATTTAGTTAAATCTACTCTATAGCTAAATGTTTAAAGCATATTTTAATTTTTTTTTTAACAATAATTTTATTTTTTTAATTAATGCAGTTTTTTTTATTAAAGGAGTGATGTATAAGGGAAGTATTGGGTGATAAGATTTTTTATGTGCAATATTATTACTAGTAACTGTTTTTTTGTTTTCCTAGGCGTCGTCGTGGTTTATTACGTAGACTTGTACAATATACAGCTCGCGTGTTCGAAATAACTGTTACAATTTACATTTCTAACTTCCTCTCCAGTAATGGAAACACCGATACAGACCAAATTGTTATGAAATACCGCGATTGGTTCAACCTCTGCAATGTTGAATTCAAAATATACACAGTGTAATGTAGATATGTAATATATTGCTTTCGCCTCTGCGTCGTCAATATCTGTCTACTCCATGTGGAATTATAGTCTTAAAAATATTTTTTTTATAACCTTTTATGCTTCCAAGTTGTTGGCTTCCAAACAGCAAAATTCCAGGCCAAATGTTTGTACTTAATGAGTGAATAGCACTGATTTTCCACAATTTTGTGAGATATTAACTGTCAAATCCTTGTTTGTATATGTCTGGGTGTTTTCTATTTATATTATGTATGTATTTACAAAAATATCATTGTATTGATATCAGTTGTCTAGTACCCATAACACATGCTCTGCTTACTTTGGGACTAGATGGCGCTGTATGAATTGTCTTGAGATTTTATTATAAAAGAAATGTCTAAAATTGAATAAATTTGATAATTTTGTAATTAAATACTTGAATAATGTAGAAAAATAATGTTTAAACGTATGCAAAATATATTCTTGTGGACTATAATAATAGTAATTTAATAAGTTCATGAATGACACCGTGCTGGCTTGAGTGTGTGGTTTACTGCAATAATTATTTCTGCAAGTGTTCTTATTAGTGAATAAAAATGTGTACTGACAGGAACAAATAAAAATTATTAAACTAAGAATAGGGTACAACAATTTTGTTTTTTTGTTTATGTATATGGTGTATATGGTATGATGCTCCCACTTGCAGAACGGTATTCAGTGGCCGAGCACCAGCGGAGGATGGTACGATGGACATGACATGGGCCCTTTTTTAATAATTAACAATGACAATGTGAGGGTTGCCATTCCTGTAAAAAAGTAAAACTGCCGATGATGTAATAATCATCCAGACTCCCCTACCCCCATGTCATCCAAAATAAGCAAAGCAAAGACCCCCCCCCCCCCCACCCCCGACCCCCTGAAACTGCTTACGTAATACTTAAACAGCTTCTATGGAAAGTAAAATCCGTCGATTAAAAAATACAAATTTAAAAATAATATGCAATGACTTTCAAAGAACAATTTGAAAAAAAAATTGTTAAATGCAGTCGCTTATGATTGCGGACGCTGGCTTTTGTTACATCACGCTCCTGATGGCTTTTGAAAGAATGTCTCGTGTAAAGGCAGCTAATGATGTTTCTCTTATTCTTAGTTTGATCTTTTGTAACACATATTCAGTTACAGTGAACCCCCGGAACGTTTTACAGGGCAATGTCGGACCATCGAAATTGTCGGATTATAGAGCCTAAGGGTCCCCTATAATCTGGAATTTTTTACAAAAGAGTATCTTGTAATCCGACAAATTACAGATCCAATGATAAGATTCTATGTTATATATGTATGTATGTATATGCATTCTGAAGTATAATGTCAAAAAAATATTCAATAAATAATAGACCATGTCGGATTACAAGGGGGGCCGGATTACCGCGGTACAATACAGTGGTATTGTACAATGTACATATCAATTGTAAGATAAGGCTGGTGGCATACAGTACGATGTTTGACGCTATTTATTACTAATTACTAATGTAATTAGATCTGCAAATCTGTAGGGTTACACTAGTGTAATTATTACACTAGTGTAACCCTACATGATTTGCAGACGATAATCCAGCTGTTTAAGTGATAAATAACCGTACAAAAGAATTATACTATATTAAATTTGGTGGTCTCGCGGTTTAGCATACCGCCTTATTTCCGATGGTCGCGGTTTCGATTCCTTCAAGTCAATTAACACTTCTTCCTACTGTATATCATCAGCTAAACATAATTTATTATTAATTACAAATTTATTATGTTTTATTATTATGGTAAAGGAATTACGCCAAAGTTCTAGTATAGAATAGTCACTGTAATTATGAAAAAATAATTATTTAAATGATCGACGAAGAGTTTTTAACACATTTGCATTTTTATATTTACACTGAAATAATGTAATTTTATTGTAGTATAATTTATTTGGAAATAAATAATTAATGATTTATTAAATTAGTGTATTTTATTTAAGTGAAAATCAGCGCTGGAAACTATGTTTCCAGCGTTATGCTGAGTTGTAGTCCATATTGACTCTGTGTTGTGATGTGTGTAAAATGTTGTATTTTTGTTATTTTATTACTGTTGTGTACTAGTCTAATTCTATTCTATTCTATGTTTAAATAAAATTGTATAAATTCAGCTAATACATATCTCCAGCTCAGGTATTTGATTTATTTTAATTTAAATGTTATTAAATTTACTTTTTAGTACACATCAATATCGGGTGTTAATACCAATAATTTATGGTAAACTAGCTTACCCGTTATTTCCATCGCGTGGAATTTAAGTTTTGTTTATTAAAACTAATAAAATTTCTAAAATAAAAGTAGCCTAAGTTACTCCATATAAAATCAGGCATCTTCAAGTGAAGCAATCGTTAAAAGCGGTTCTGTTGTTTCAGACACTAGCAAGAATATACAGACATTAATTCTTTCATATTTTAAGAGCCGCGCTCCTGTCTGTAGAGTTCTTGCCTTAATATTAATAATAATCTTCCATCAATCTCTTTAATTGTTAATACAACACGACTCCAACCTTTTCTTTAATTTGCTTGATATTCCTGTCTTGGTCTTCTCCTTCCTAAAGGAAAGAGAGGAACAACATATAGACACAAAATTTTTTCAAGTAAGTTTTTGATGTGTATGCTCGTCAGGTACAGTACCTATTGTATGACATCATAGCCAACATGTTTTTTTAATATATATTCCCTTTTTGTTTCACAATTGGTCATGATCCTCGAGACCAACTAAATTCTTTTAATTAATAGTTTATTAAGTATTAGATGTAGGTAGATTATTGTATTTTTCGTATTTTATTTTGTAATATACTTTATACGGTTTTATTTATTTGTGTTTTGTAAATTTTCTGTAATATAATGAGAGAAATAGTTCATATTCAAGTGGGCAGGTGTGGGAACCAGATTGGCACAAAGGTAATATTTTGTTTGTAAAAAATATAAATATGGGGTGATACTACAAGTTTTACATTAGCAATAAAGGGGTAGGTTACTTAGGCTTGTAATAAAAATTAGTAAATAATTATTACAAGCCTAAGTAGTGTGATGTTGGATTAAAATATTCGTATGGCCAGATATATCTACTCTTCGGAAAAACAGCACTACTTACCAGGTCCTATTGTGTTTTCAAACTCACACTTGAAATATAAATACACTATTTCGTGGAAATCGGTCTAGGTAATTCTAAATAATTCTTTATCATCCTCTTTAGAAAAAAAAACTCACTTGTGTTTGTAACTACTCCTAAACGTTTAGGAGTCGCAAACACACGTACGGAAGAATTATATAGATAGGTATATATTTTTTCAAAAAAGGCGTGGACCTGTGTGAATAAAACCTATGTCAGGAATGGGCTATGTTAATCCCTTGGCATTTGCCCGCTGGCGGGGCAAATGCCGTTAGCGCAGGCGGGAGTACGATTCCAAAATCATACATTAAAAACCCTTGCATTAGACAGACCATTAGACCACTATCGCAAAAACTATAACTTAAAGACAGCTTAGCTAATGATATCTTTTATTACAGTTCTGGGAGGTCATATCAGATGAACACGGTATAGACCCACAAGGCTGCTATCGAGGCGATTCGGATCTTCAGCTTGAGCGCATCAATGTGTACTATAATGAAGCCTCTGGCATGAAGTATGTTCCTAGAGCGGTTCTAGTCGACCTAGAACCAGGCACCATGGATGCAATTAGGGCTGGACCATTCGGACAGATCTTCAGACCAGATAATATTGTCTATGGAGGGACAGGTGCCGGCAATAATTGGGCTAAAGGACATTATACCGAAGGTGCTGGACTGCTTGAATCTGTCCTTGACGTAGTACGAAAAGAAGCAGAAGGTTGCGACTGTCTACAAGGATTCCAAGTAGTTCACTCATTAGGAGGTGGCACTGGATCTGGATTGGGGACGCTGCTACTTGATAGTTTAAGTGAAGAATATCCAGACAGAATAATGGTTACGTACTCCGTGGTTCCAAGTCCAAAAGTTTCTGATACAGTAGTAGAGCCGTACAACGCGACGTTGTCTCTCAATCAGCTGATAGAATCATCAAATCAGTCGTATTGCATAGATAATGAGGCACTGTACGATATCTGCTTTAGAACACTTAAGTTGATGACGCCTACATACGGGGACCTGAATCATTTGGTATCAGCAACGATGTCTGGTGTTACGACGTGTCTACGATTCCCAGGGCAGTTAAACGCAGATCTGCGTAAACTAGCAGTGAATATGGTGCCTTTCCCGCGATTACATTTCTTTATGCCAGGTTTCGCGCCTCTCACGTCACGCGGCAGCCAGAAGTACCGTGCATTGTCCGTCCCTGAGCTCACACAACAGATGTTCGATGCCAAAAACATGATGGCTGCCTGCGACCCGCGCCATGGACGATATCTCACCGTCGCAGCAGTATTCCGAGGACGCATGTCTATGAAGGAGGTGGACGAGCAAATGTTGAATATCCAAAAGAAAAATAAGGACTTCTTCGTAGAATGGATACCACACAACGTAAAGACGGCGGTATGCGATATACCCCCACGTGGTCTAAGAATGTCTGCTACCTTTATTGGAAATACAACGGCGATACAGGAGATATTTAAAAGGATTTCTGAGCAGTTTACGACTATGTTTAGAAGGAAAGCATTCATTCATTGGTATACCGGAGAGGGTATGGATGAAGCAGACTTTACGGAGGCAGACAATAATCTCAGTGATCTAATATCAGAGTACCAACAATATCAGGATGCAACGATTGACGATCAGGAGTTTGAAGAAGAGGAGGAAGAAGGTCCAAATGATGCCAGTGATGAATGATGTCAAATGTCTATTATTATTTATTAGTATTTAATAGAAAATATATTCAAAATAAATAAAATGTCTATTTTTTTGTACCGATGTGATATCTAGAGTTACGTAAATACTACATAGCTGTTAACCTCAATTTCCGTCTGCAAACTTCCGCCCGTTCACCTTCCACAGAATCCTAATGATGAAAGATCCGTGAGCCAAAAGCCAAAAAGGGGTGTTGTTACACATTAGGATAAATTGGCAATAGCCATGATATACTGACAAAATAGGCAGTGCACTATATATATTGACCTAATTTGTACTTCTCGAGTGGGTGGCAACTTTATATTGTGAATTATCCCTATTCATGTAAAAGACTAATAGGTAGACCGAATAGTAGACACTGTAGGGCGGCAGAATACCCACAGAGAAGTTAGCTTTTATTTTAGGTTTACAAAACATTTGGCAGTTTAATTATTTATTCCGAACATTTGTGTAGACAAAAACATAACATGTAGGTATAATAGATAAGATTACAACATTACACACAGACAATTACAATACATTGGACGATACATGGACACAATCACTGTTCTTCCACTTCCTCATCGAACTCGCCTTCATCATCGGCCGTGGCATCTTGATACTGTTGGTATTCTGACACCAGATCATTCATATTACTCTCCGCTTCGGTAAACTCCATCTCATCCATACCTTCGCCGGTATACCAGTGAAGGAAAGCTTTTCGCCTGAACATAGCTGTAAACTGCTCGGATATTCTTTTGAACAGTTCTTGAATGGCTGTCGTATTGCCTATAAAGGTCGCAGACATCTTCAGTCCACGAGGCGGTATGTCGCACACGGCTGTTTTGACGTTATTAGGAATCCACTCTACGAAGTAGCTGCTGTTCTTATTTTGTATGTTTAGCATTTGTTCGTCCACTTCCTTCATGGACATCCGCCCGCGGAAGACGGCAGCCACGGTTAGATATCGACCATGCCGCGGGTCGCAGGCCGCCATCATGTTTTTGGCGTCGAACATTTGCTGCGTGAGCTCTGGTACGGACAGCACTCTGTACTGCTGACTACCTCGAGAGGTAAGCGGCGCGAATCCTGGCATGAAGAAATGTAGTCGCGGGAATGGGACCATATTCACTGCTAGCTTTCGCAGATCCGCGTTCAATTGACCCGGAAACCGTAGACACGTCGTCACTCCTGACATAGTTGCAGATACCAGATGATTCAGGTCCCCGTAAGTCGGCGTCGTCAACTTGAGCGTTCTAAAGCAGATGTCATACAAAGCTTCGTTATCTATGCAGTATGTTTCATCTGTATTTTCTACCAGTTGATGTACTGATAATGTAGCGTTGTAAGGCTCTACTACAGTGTCAGATACCTTCGGACTGGGCACTACTGAAAAGGTATTCATTATGCGGTCTGGATATTCTTCTCGAATCTTCGATATTAGTAATGTCCCCATGCCAGAACCCGTGCCACCGCCAAGCGAGTGGGTTAGTTGAAAGCCTTGCAAGCAATCACAGCCTTCTGCTTCTTTTCGAACTACATCGAGAACTGAATCTACCAACTCAGCACCTTCAGTATAATGGCCTTTAGCCCAATTGTTGCCTGCTCCGGATTGCCCAAATACGAAGTTATCAGGGCGGAATATTTGGCCGAAAGGTCCGGAGCGTACTGAATCCATCGTGCCAGGTTCGAGATCGACAAGTACGGCTCGGGGTACATATTTCCCACCAGAGGCTTCATTGTAGTACACATTAATGCGTTCTAGTTGAAGATCAGAGTCGCCTTGGTAAGCGCCAGTGGGGTCGATGCCGTGCTCGTCAGAAATCACCTCCCAGAACTAAAACCAATAGAATTTATGCCTTTTATAATTGCTACGAGAAAAAGTAAAATCGGTCAAGTGCGAGTCGCCTTACACCAATGGTTCCAAATAAATAAGGCTATTTACATGGTTTTTATTTTATTTTTTATGCATAGGATTATGAATACCTAATAAATAAATATATATTTTTTCGTAAATACGTACATATTACACATATAAAATACCCATAGCGATACATTTATATTCATGAATACAAATGTTTGTACTGTGCGAGGAATCGAACCCCCAACTACTGGAAGCAAGGCGGTGTGTCCAACCGCTAGTCCACCGAGGTTGTCAAAAATTTGTGCTGTGATTGTAATAAAATCACAAGCTGAAATAGTATCACAACGGGACGGCCTATACGGGGTATATGTAGGGACATGTGTTGCCATTTGCTTTTGCTCTTTACCTTTAAATTTGAGAGGAAGGAGGATTATTAAGTTGCTAGCAATGTACCATGATTCATCATCATGCCGTTGATTCATCTTATTCTCCACTGGTACATCGCCTGCATAAACTGTTAGTCCAGACGGGCGCACCATTTCATTATCATCCATTAAAAACCCTTCCATATTTCGTTCACACTAAAATAGATCGGAAATCAAGCTGCTTAGAAGCTATGCATATGTTATATTTACCTTGGCTCCGATTTGGTTTCCGCATTGTCCGGCCTGAATGTGAACGATTTCCCTCATTGTAGTTATTTCAAAAATAATTTATTATCTAAAATATAGTTAGTTAAAATTTCGTTGCCGATAAACAATAAAAATATTATATAAAAAAAAAAACTTGTAGACAATTTCAATACACCATATTACACGAAATTTTAGTCAATAATGACGGAGAGTGCACTTTTGTTTTTGATTTTTAAAATAGTGTATTCCATTTTTGAAACGAACGTATTTCCATGCAGCCTGTATTCTTTTTTTTTTTTTAATTATTAGGCATTGGCAAAAGTAGCAGGAATACAATTGTTTTGATTATATTTTTTATAAAGACTACTCTGTGATATTTTTGTCCATGACCAATAAAAATCTATAGGTACATATCATACAAATGTAACTGATCTGTAGGTATATGGAACGTAATTATATGAGGTAAATTATTATTGAGGGCCTTATCAATGCAATATAACCCAAATAGTACAATTATTTTACTGGTATACTCATTACCTACATACTACAATAAACTAATGTATTATGTACCGACACCTCGTCTCATCATACACAACGATACGGTGGTGAAGTGATGGCCACCGCGCTCCAACACTATCTAGTATGTGCACTGTATATATTCATCAACATTAAATTGATAAATCACCTCTTTGTGATAAAATATGTCTATTATTATTAAAAAAAAAAATTACGTGGAGTAATTTTTTTTTAATAATAATAGACATGAATGATCTATTACAACTAACACCTATACAAATAAATAAAATTGATTTGTAATTTGAAAGAAACAGCTTTTTTCTAAATGCATATGGCAGTATATACATAATTTAAAAAATTGTGTCTCTGATATCGCTAATCAAAATCAAATATACTCCCTACCTTTTACAGCTTGTTAATTTGCAATGGAACCACTTGAAAGAAAAATAATTTTACATCTACGCACATTCTCTATTTTACTGAATAAATCGATTTTGTATGGTTGTAAATCTATCAAAATACAGTATATTAGTAGAGAGCACTGGGGTAGCGGGACTGTTACTAATGAGGATTAGTTTGTATCAGATTTCAGGCTCATTCCATCATACATTGGTGCCCCCGCTGGCATATATCTAATGTTAGCCTAGCCGGGAGTTCCGTTTACCATTCCTTTAAAAATCACAACGGTACTACAAAATTTTGTTAAGAATTAAGGCACATAGTGGGGAACTAACCGTAAAACAATAAGTATGTAGGTATAATTTTATTTAGGACGAACACAAGGACATACACAAGTGGACAAATAGCCAAAATAATCCTATTCCTCCTCCAAACCTTCGCCTTCTGCTTCCTCATCAAACTCCCCCTCGTCGTCTGCTGTAGCGTCTTGATACTGTTGATACTCTGACACCAGGTCGTTCATGTTACTCTCCGCTTCTGTAAATTCCATCTCATCCATTCCCTCACCGGTATACCAGTGTAAGAAAGCTTTCCTCCTGAACATAGCCACGAATTGTTCAGCCATCCTTTTGAATATGCTCTGAATGGCTGTCGTATTACCAATGAATGTTGAAGCCATTTTTAAACCTCGTGGTGGAATGTCACATACGGCAATCTTTACATTATTCGGTATCCACTCCACAAAGTATGTGCTGTTCTTGTTCTGAATATTGACTAGTTGTTCATCAACTTCCTTCATTGACATTCTACCTCTGAATATCGTGGCAACGGTCAGGTATCTCCCGTGTCGTGGATCACACGCAACCATCATGTTCTTGGCATCAAACATCTGTAGCGTCAACTCTGGTACTGTCAGAGCTCTGTACTGCTGCGCTCCTCTCGAGGTCAGAGGCGCAAAACCAGGCGTATAAAAGTGGAGTCGGGGGAACGGTACCATGTTCACGGCCAATTTCCTCAAATCGGCATTCAACTGTCCAGGGAATCGAAGACACGTCGTGATGCCGGACATGGTGGCACACACCAAATGATTCAAATCTCCGTAAGTGGGTGTCGTCAGTTTCAATGTCCTGAAACATATGTCGTACAACGCTTCATTGTCCAAGCAGAATGTATGGTCTGAGTTTTCTACCAGCTGGTTTACTGCTAACGTAGTGTTGTAAGGTTCCACGACGCAATCAGATACTCTTGGGCTTGGAAACACTGAAAATGTAAGGATGATTCGGTCGGGATACTCTTCTCTAATTCGGTTAATAAGAAGTGTTCCCAAACCAGAACCGGTGCCGCCTCCAAGAGAGTGGGACATCTGAAACCCTTGAAGACAATCGCAACCTTCGGCTTCTCGGCGGATAACGTCTAATGCGGACTCTAGGATCTCAACGCCTTCAGTGTAATGGCCTCTAGCCCAGTTGTTGGCCGCACTGTTCTGGCCATAGACAAAGTTGTCGGGCCTGTATAGACACCCAAAGGGTCCAGATCTTACGGCGTCCATGGTGGCTGGCTTGAGGTCAACAAGAACTGTCCGCGGCACATACTTGCCACCAGAGGCCTCGTTGTAGTACACGTTGATACGTTCAAGTTGAAGGTCGGAGTCGCCGTGGTAGCAACCGCTTGGGTCGATGCCGTGTTCATCGGATATAACCTCCCAAAACTGGAGACAAAGATGAAATTTGTTAATAAAATTAAAAAGTCAACATGGTTAACATCAGAACATCAGTCAGTCATTAACTGTGGGAATTGCCGAGCATGAAATCTTAACGGAAAGTTATGCTTTTATTATTTTGCATTGTTTTAGACATATTTTAGCGACTAAAATAGGTACGAAATAGATACGAATCCAAAATTCTAAATAAAGATCTTGGTTCACGTGATGACCCCATGGAGACATGGAGATCTACCAAATGGAGACTACAAATCGAAGCCACTTTTGTTAAGATTCTATCAACTACCGATTCGTCCCGGCTTCGTACCTGCTATATAAATACCATACATACATAAAAATCTTCCTCTTGAAATGTCAATTACTGCTGAAGCTCTTAAAATCCGTTGCGTAGTTTAAAGGTTCGTAAGCTTTGGGAGCGACTTTGTTTTATACCTACTATATACAGATATGGTTCCATAAAATTGAATTTTATAGTAGCAATAGGTCTATTACAAACTCTTTAATATGTCAAATCTATCGTCAGTTCAAAATGAGTTGGAGATCAAGACACTCGGCTCGTATTCTTTTCAAATAAATGTTGTACATGTTTATAATAATACCGATTCATTTATAAATTCAATTTTGGGAGAATAAGTGACCACTAGCATATGCTATTGTATTATTTGCAAATAGTCTAATCAGTGTACGTAACCCGAACAGACCAGTACCCACAAGCAGCACACATTCACGAGTATGACAGATATATCCTATAGAATTGCAACATCTACATCTCATCGGCTATTTATAAATATCCTTATTAACTTACTTTTCCACCAATCTGATTGCCGCAAGCTCCAGCCTGGATATTAATAATTTCCCTCATCTTGAGAATTTACCTTCTAGCTTCTATTACTTGTATAATTTATCGAAAAATTATCAAAAGATTCTTATAAAGTTGAATCTTAACATTAGCTTATAAACTAATTTAAAAAAAATTAAAAAAGAATCAAGTTCTGTATCAAACCGCTCGCATGACGAATTTCAGAAAAATGATTTTATGAAATGACGAGCGACAATCAAGAATTTTGAATTGTACTTCTAGAACAGTAAATAATATTTTAGAATGAAAAGACAAGGAATTTTCGACCAGTAATTTAATTATAACATTTTTAATGTATTTTAATATATGAGATAATTAAATTATTTTTTACGTCTAAATTTCATTGGAATATAGGAAATAAAAAAAAAACTTGCATTAACCACTAATATGTATTTAATTAATAACGCCATCTTGTGTAAAAAAAATTAATTACATTCACAACTGAAATGCTTTTTCAGTCAGTCCGTATAGTTGAAGAAAGTACCGCGCACGCGTGTCAGATGTCGCGGCGCTGTATTCAGCAGGCTTGTTTTGTTTTCAGCGCTCGCACTATTGTCATGGCGCTCCCTCGAAATGTCAGTGAGGTAGCGACCCCGAACACAATGTAAATTCTTAGATTATTATGTATGATGTAGTTATTTTTGATGTGTGAAGTGTGCATAGCGTGCGAGTGCCCGCCGAGTGATGTCAGTGGCCGACGGCGATGAGGTCGCGCCAGAGAAAAAAACACCGTTTCCCGAAGACACGGATAGTGACAATGACACTGAGAGGAAACCGTTGTTGCGGAGGATATCTACCAGCAAATGCGTCGGTAGATTGGTGAGTTCGTTGTCTTTTTATCTAGATAATTGGCCAATTGTTTTCATGCATGCATAGTAGGGCGTGCCGGACGAGCGGGGGGCGCGGGACGCGGGGCGCAACCCATGTGCCCGGGCGAGCGATACAATTTTCCAAGATCAATTTTTAACGATATTGTTTGTTTGGGTATTATACTTAATTATATGTGCCGATTTAATATGGTACAAAGAGCCTATTGACCTATTTAACAGCTATGAGGTCTGTAGTAAAGATACGTTTTATAGCGGGAGCTTAATTTTTTTTTGTTATGGTTGTATTCGTAGAAATGGTAATACTACCTTTGTTTACTTATACTGTTACTGTACTATCATAGATTTTGTATAATATGGCTCATAAATACAGGACAAAGTTAAACGTACTGTTTATAATTTAAAGGAGACGATACCGCGCTATTTTACTACTACAATACATAAGTTTAGGAAACAAAACATGCAGTAGTATGGAGCTAGTTGTAAATTTCTGTCAACACAACCGATTGGGGAAATTTAAAATAATCTAATTACATATATCATATTTATTTATCTAAAAAAAGCATGAGACTGACGTCTGTACGTTATGGATATAGAAAAAATATTGTTCGGGGTGTGTTTATGCAAACAGAGGTAAAAATATCAAAATCATAAGGGATTTTCGAAAATTTATCTGTGTGTCTGTGTCTACACACATCGGGCAAGAACTACGTGAAATTGAATGTTACTTTACATCGATATATAGCTACAGATTTAACTTAAAAAATATTTATATAAAATTATTATTTGCACGTTTTGACCCACTCAACACTTCCTATGCCATGCTGTATTAGGCTGACTGGAAGATATCTCTTTTGAGATAAGTCCTCCTTTGTTAACATTATTTCTAATTACCATACCTAAAAATGTATTTAATTGTAATAAAGAATATACTTATATAAAAATAGGCTCTATTTTGATGCAGAAAAGTATCTTTACATATGTGGTATAAAACTAAGTCGCCGCCACAGTCTGCTCACTTATTTTTTTTTACTTACGCAACGGATTTGAATTCAGTTTTCAGTAACAGATAGAGTGATTCATGAGGAAGGTTTATATACATAATACATGCATGTTATAGTATAGAACAAATCGAGAAACTCAAAGATTTGTAATGCATCCGTGGGAAGACGAGTCGGGTCGGTTCTTTCGTATAAATTAATGACACGTGTATGTTATAATGTGTGGCCTCTTATGGCCTACAAAGAATAACATAGCTTTGACAGTAAGGTGTCAATATATGCTCAATGTTGCCATATTTCCAGTTATTAATGTACAACTATAATTTGTTTGTGACTGTCTGACGCAAAAGTTTGTGACTGTGGATGGATTTTTGTTACTTTCACGCAAAAACTACAGAACGGGTGAAATGACGACGAATGAATGAAAATGAAACTTTATAGTAATATAGCTTATACATTATAAAAACACATAGGTTATAAATTTCATGCGATTGAAACTGCGGGCACAGCTAGTAATGTCATAAATTTATGTTATTAGTTGTCAATAAATTTATTTTTCTTCTTTCTTTTCTCATGATAATGTTTTTCTAATATATAGCCGTTTATCGACATATGTCCGGCAATGTCCGGCGTCTGTCGGTCTTTGTGTTCGTCCGCGTTCCATTTTCCTTCAATCAGTTCATTGTAAACAAACACTAGTGTCCCGCTGACGGCTTACAACAACAAACAAACCGCAGAACACATTATACATATAACACATTGTGGCCTAGTGATATACTACCCTGAATTATATCTAAGAGGTCGTGAGTTCAAATCTGAAACGCAGGGACTCTCTCCAAGTTATTTTAATTAATGCTAAAGGCATCCGCCTGGTCTGTATACCCTGGCGGGGTACCACTGAGGGATGATAAGATGAACATGATGTCAGGTCAGTTAACCCATTGTGATAAATTCACTAGGATTTTTTCCGAATGGTTTTCATGGAGAACTGAGTGAAGGTTAACCTGACATCGTGCATTGCTATCAATGGGATTATTAGTCGATCCCAGGGGAGGGGTTTTGGTTCCCAATATTATCAACAGTCTGCACCCAACAACCGGAAACGAAGGTGCTTGGCGGCTGACTTAGTTGAAACTGGTTACCCCAGTTCCCAGATCTGATGGTAAACTGTACAATTTCTCTGATTTGCAACTATCGGAAGTAATGCGGCGTGTTAAACTGCTGGACCAGAGACCGTCAAAAATCACGAGGCTTATTTTTAAACTTTCGTGTTTAGTACACATTATTAATATTGTCAAACCACGAATTATTTTATGGAAAACAAAGGTATTTATCTAAATCAATATATTTGACTTGGATGAACTAGCGTGGTCACGTACCAACTGGAGTAAGAGCAGTTGAGAGAGGTAAATACGTTTATTTGCCATAAAATTATTCGTATTAAAGCACATTTTCCGTTTCCGGTATGGTATCTAATAAGCAAGACTCTTGACAATATAGAATTCATTAACGCTATGTAACTGACTGCTCCAGAAGTTCGTCAGGTATCTTTATGTTTTTATCAGTGCCTGCAATCAAGTAACCTGTCAGAGTGATAGTACGCGTGTTGGTTGTTGGTGGCACATTGTCCGTGCCAGGACGTCCGGCGTCTGTCAATCTGTGTCCATTAGACGTTGCCATTCCAGAAGAATGAGAGGTTATGCCTCTTATTTTGTAACCAGCTTTTGCCGCGGCTTCTTTATATTAATTTATCCATTTTTAAGTTGTTATATTTATTATTAGGGGTGGAATTTATCAAAATCCTTTATATATGCCTACGTCATAGTAGCTTTATGCATGCAAAGTCTCAGCCCAATCGATTTAAAATTGACAAAGTTTCATACATACTTTCGTCCCCTATTTTATCCCCTTGGGGTTGAATTAATCAAAATCCTTTCTTAGCGGATGCCTACGTCATAACATCTACCTGCATGCCAAATTCCAGTCCGATCCGTCCAGTGGTTTGGGCTGTGCGTTGATGGGAGATCATTACGTCAGTCACCTTTAAGTTATATATATTTAGATTCAACTGCCTAATCTGCAACCAATAACCGGAATAGAAGTTGCTTGGCGGTTGACTTTTGAAACTGGTTACTCCAACCTGGTAAACTGTAAAATTTCTCCGATTCACAACCATTACATGTAAAGCGATATTAGTTAAACTGTAAACTTTCAATTATTATCAAAATAGCAACACGCAAGTCTTTATACATCAATTCTAATGAGCAAGACTTGTATTCGTGGTAGATTAAAAAAATAACTGTAACTATTCAAAGATGCTTAATACAGATTCACATACTAGTTCTAAAAATTTGCACAGATTCCATTTGAGTAACCTGTCTTAGAGTGATAGTGCCAACACGTGTTGAAACGTTGGTGGCAATTGTCTTTGTGAAAACGTCCGGCGTCTGTAATATAGTATACGTTGTAGGAAGTTCACAGAGCAATTAACATTTATGAAGCTGACTGTACATAGAGGTCGATTGATGGAATGACGCGATACGGACTCCATGGTGTTGAATAATTTATTTGAATTGATATAAAAAGATATCCTCAAGGGGTAAAATAAAATAGGAGATAGAAGTTTGTATGAAAATTAGTCATTTTAGAAACTAGAACGATAGACGTCTCTAGGTCCGTTGTTGTTTTTGTTTTTATTTTCATTTATATATACTTATAAATAAAATAATGCTTTTTATATGTAAACATATATTAACTTTTTTAAAATGTAAAATATAAATTATTATCAAAATAGCAAATATCATTTTTTTAAAATATCTTCTTGTCTGAGACAGTGTGTCTGTTTGTTAGATTAAAAAAATAACGTAACTATTCAAAGATGCAGGTATTGATGTAATAAAAAATTTGCACATATAATCACAATTTTAGAAAAAATCTCTTATGATAGTGCCAACACGTAGAAACATAGTATGAAACGTAGTGTTAATTTATATATGTAAAATTTCCCTGTAATTGTTTTGCTATATAAATTAAAATCGTTATTAAAAAAATAAAAAATAAAGCTTAATGGTAGAAAAAAGTAAAAGATTGGCGTTGATGGATATATTTTATTGGACTCCATGGTGTTGAATAATTTATTTGAATTGATATAAAATAGAGATGGATCACTTATTAGGTATTTCATGTTACAGACAACTGTAACAAAGACATCGTTTTCTTTGGAAAGTTCCTTGACATATACGAGTGAAATACAATATTTCAGTCACCAGGTCCGTTGTTGTTTTCCTCACACAGTTCTTTATTTTCATTTATATATAATATACGTATAAATAAAATATTTATGTCTGTTTGTAATATTAAAATAACTATTTTCAAAAAATTATAAATATTTATGTCAGTTGTCTAGTATTCATTACACAAGGCCTCTTAGGACTTCGCATGATATACATGTATCATACAATGACATATTAAACTTCTTGAATCTAACTATTGCTAAAAACTGCATTAAAATCCGTTGTGTACTTTGCTAAGCGAACTGAGAGCGAAAGCAACTTCATTGTACATTATGTAAAGATAAGAAATACATATATATATACATATAATATATTAAGAATCTACAGCTAGCGTATAAAGCTATATGATATCATAGCTACATACTCTTTTAAATGGCTGAGAACCATCTCAATTTGCAAAGACAGCAAGAAAATAAAAGCCATTAATATAATATAAATGTATCTGTATTGCGCATTTAGCTAAAGTGCTCCATATATTCTCTAGTTTCAATGTATTTTGGGTCCCGTTCCGATAATCGCGAAATAAATATTGTACTTTATCTTGGAAATAATAACCGTTTTCAGTATAGAAGGCAGTCTCTATATATTGACATGGGAAACACAAAGTTTGTACTCCTTTTTATGAAAATTGCCCGGACGGAGAAGTATGAAATCGCACACTTATAGTTTATATATATAGTTATACTATAGTATTATAT